GGTATCAGGACACCCCACAGAGCTCCATCCAAGGCAACTACGCCCCATACGACGCGTACGAACCCGTAGGGGCAAACAACAGAGCTTTTCCAGAGAACGCGTCGCACCCCTATTACACGAACGAGCGACCCGTCTTTGACCCTGCTCTCCAGTACGGCTCTGGCCAGTATCCCTACCAATCAACTTCGGACGCACGACCCAGCCCTTCGCCCGCGTACGCTGCTTCTCCATCAAAGAGTCCTTACCAGCCAGTCTCCACTATCCCCATCGCGTCGCCATCACATCCGTATCAATATCAAGCGCAGGCGCAGTTGTCTCCCTACCCCGTCCAGGTTCCTTCTCAGTCAAGCTCGCGAAACGCTTGGCCATCGAACCAACCCTATCCCCACACCCTTCCATCCGATCACGCGGCCCCTGTAAATACAATCGTCAACCCTGCTCCGCAGGCCACTATTCCATCGGCCACTCCTTCCATTAAAATCCGCTTTACAGCACCTCCCCAAGCATCCTCAGAACCTGTCATGGCATCAGGTCGTTCTTCCCGGCGGGCATCTCACACTGCCCAGGATTCCTCTGCGTTGGAGCCACAGATCGCGTCCAGCACTGGACGGCTTCAGCGCGGGTCTTCGAGGAGGGCAGCAGTGCAGGTGACGTACAAGGAGGAAGAGGACGAAGACGAGTTTGATGAAGCCTTGGACGAGGATGCGAACGGAGAAATTGATGAGGATGCCTTTGGCGAGGAAGAGATGCCGGTGCCTACTACGAGGTCGGGTCGGCATCACAAGGCGCCTGTGAGGTTGGAAGAAGAATATGGTCAGCCTGCCGAATCAGCTAGTCCAGAGTACGGAAGAAGATCGTCGAGAACCAGAGGAAAGAGAAAGATCATCTTGGATCCAGATGAGGATGATGAAGATGAAGAGGTGCGCCCGCCTCCCAGGAATGCTTTCCCTCCAAGAGCTACGCGAAATTCGTTGGGCGGGGCTACAGTGGTAGAGCAGCCGGTTCAAGTTGTCAACGGTGTTTCTCTTCGTGCCACACGAAGCAGTGCGCGTGCAGCCACCCGTCGACACTCTTCAGCCGATGGCGAAGATTTCGAGCCTGAAGGAGACTCGCCCGACGATGATGCTTCTAGCGACGCTCTCGGCAATTACGAAGATCCCGATGATCCCGATGAAGACGACTTTGTGGAGGATGATGATGGGGAAGGCTATGGGTCCAAACGGCGCAGCTCTAGCCGCCGGCGTCCTGCTGCTCGGTCTACTCGTGCGACCACCATACCTACTCGACGCAGCACCCGTTCCGCTGCTAAAGCAAGAGTCATTACTACCGACGAAGACTCGCCTCAGAAGGGCAGGAGTCTACGGGCGAGAACTTCCAAGGTCAACTACCATATCCCGACCATGGAAGATATCAGCAAAGAAATATCTATGCAGGAGGCTATTGCTGCTGCATCGAGGCCGGGTGGACGAGTTGGGGCAGGGGGCGGCTTGCGAGGCATGGGCGTCAAGTTTGGATTGCCTTTCAACCTTGGCGGGAAGGGTATATCACAGGCTATGGGCGATCTTGATTCCAGTGATTCGGTGAGTCGCAACGGTATGGTATAAGAGCCGAGCTGACTTTTGGTTAGGACGACATGGAATTCGCTTCGCCGTTGAAAAGTGGAGCTGCCGGGGCGTCTATCCCTGGTGGTGGTACGGCTGTAGCAGCCCGCGGTGCTGGCGGGCCATCAGATGTGCCAAACTTTGGTCGAATCAACCCAAAATCTAGTATGTACCCGAGGCAATCTTGAGTCTTACACTAACAAAATACAGGCACTGCTGACGCCGACCCTCTCGGAGTGGATATGAATGTCACATTTGATAATGTTGGTGGTCTCGACAACCACATCAACCAGTTGAAAGAAATGGTGGCCCTGCCGTTACTCTATCCCGAGGTCTTTCAACAGTTTGGTATCACCCCGCCGAGAGGTGTACTGTTCCATGGACCTCCTGGTACGGGTAAGACCTTATTGGCGAGGGCTCTAGCTGCCTCTTGCAGTAATGGCAATACCAAGATTTGTAAGGGAATCGTCATTTTCATCTTCAACACTAACATGTCGCCTAGCTTTCTTTATGCGCAAGGGCGCAGATGTCCTTTCGAAATGGGTCGGTGAAGCGGAGCGTCAATTGCGAATGTTATTTGAAGAAGCTCGAGCTTCTCAACCCAGCATCATCTTTTTCGACGAGATAGACGGCCTCGCGCCTGTACGAAGCAGTAAACAGGATCAGATCCACGCCAGTCTTGTCTCCACCCTTCTCGCGCTGATGGATGGTATGGACGGCCGAGGACAGGTCATTGTCATTGGTGCTACAAACAGGCCCGATGCCGTCGACCCTGCTCTTCGCCGACCTGGACGATTCGACCGAGAATTCTACTTTCCCCTGCCCAATCGTGAAGCTCGTAAAAAGATCATTGGCATCAACACTCGAAAGTGGACCCCGCCTCTGTCGGATGATATGCTCGATCGACTGGCGGGAATGACAAAGGGGTATGGGGGTGCTGATCTGAGAGCTCTGAGTACGGAGGCGGCCTTGAACGCGATACAGAGAAGGTATCCGCAGATCTACAAGACAGCTGATAGGCTGGAATTGAAATTGGGGACGATCAAAGTGCAAGCCAAGGATTTCATGATGTCTGTCAAGAGTACGTCCCGAGCAATGTCTTGCAGCCAGAGCTAACGTCAAGTCAGAAATCGTGCCATCGTCCGCTCGATCCACGGCCTCGCCCGCTATTCCTCTCCCGGCCCATCTGCATTCGCTTCTGTCCTCTCCCTTGGAGCGTCTCAAGGATGCCGTGGACCATGTTCTCCCTCCCAAGAAGCACGCCACTGCGTTGGAAGAGGCCGAGTATGAGGAGGAGGATGAGGATAACTTTGAAAAGCACATGATGGTGCAGGGTGAGTCTCATTCGGTACTGTGCAACACATGCTTATCTCCGTACTCAGCGCTGAGCAAGTTGAGAACCTTCCGACCGAGGGTGCTCGTCCATGGGCAGCCTGGCATGGGTCAGACCTATCTCGGCCCCGCGTTGCTGAACCATCTTGAAGGCTACCACGTGCAAAGCTTGGATTTGGGTACTTTGATGGGTGACTCTACACGAGTGAGTGGCTACATCGTACTCTGGACAATGCTCACAATAACTCAGTCTGTCGAGAATGCCATTGTGCAATTGTTCGTCGAGGCGAAGCGTCACCAACCATCCGTCATCTTTATCCCCTCCATTTCACAGTGGTCTCAGACCATTCCTGAGCTCGCTCGATCTACTTTCGGTGCTCTCCTTAATGATATCCCGCCCTCAGACCCCATCCTGCTTCTAGCTCTTGCCGATGGATCGGTCGACGATCTTCCAGGGGATGTACGAGCTTGGTTTGGTTTCGCAACCGAGAACAAAATCCAACTCGGACTTCCTACACCTGCCGAGCGCAAAGCCTACTTTGCCGATCTCGTCGAGTCTGTCCGTCGGCCCCCAACAGACTTTCCTGATGGTGTGCCGAGAAAGAAGAGGGTATTTGAAGTGTTGCCTCTTGCAAAGCCTCTTCCGCCTCGACAGCCCACAGAGGCGGAGAAGGCGAGAGAAGAGGAGAAGGATCAAGCGGCGAGGAACATGATGGTGGTCAGCTTTACCAATCTGGTGCAAGAATTCATGAAGAGGTACAGAAAGGTTGCTGCTAGTGTCAGGGTGAGTAGAGCGCGTCTTGGTGATCGGAATGATGCTGACACAAGTGCAGGAGGACGCCATGACATATTCAAGATTCTTGGCTGAGCAGGCTGCTCTTGCTGCGGCTCCTGTTGACGGCACTGCCACTGCACCGGTAGACGTCGATGCTGCTGCACCCATCGACGAGCAAGATGCCCAGCCTCGAGTGAATGGTAACCACATGGAGGTGGACCCTGTTCCTGCCGAAGCGGACCCCACTGCGATTCCCTCTACTCAGGACTCCGCCTTGCTTGCTCCCCCTTCCCTCGTCCCTACAGCCAGGTCTACCCCAGCTCCCGAGGCTGTCCCAGCTCCAGTGCCAGCTCCTCCTGCTGCCCCCACATGGCAAGCCCACAACATTGATGTCGACACTATTCAAAGACGTCTCGTCCGCCACAAATACTTCCAGCCCAGTGATTTCCTGGCTGATATCGCCAAGATCGAGGAGAATGCGTTCACTTTGAACGATCCTGAAAGGCACGCCAAGATGGTCGAGATGGGTGCGAATGCGAGGTTGCATGTGAGCGGCTTTGACTCAAAATGGACGCCAGAGTTTGAGAGGTATGCGGAGAGGATGCAAGAGAAGAAGAGGGAGAGGCAAAGGAGAAAGGAGGGGTTGGAGAAAGCACAGGCAAAGGAGAAGGAGGTCGAAAGCGAGGTACAAGGAGAGACGGGTGAGGCTGGTCCCGCTGAGATCGAAAGCTCGAGCTCGAAGCGCCCCAGAGAAGGAGACGACGAGAGCAATGGTCGGGAGAAAAGGCCCCGCGATGACGAGCCTATCATCGGTGAAGCTTCCACCTCTTCCCAGCCCGCTGTCGAGCCTTCCACGACCACAGCTCAAGTGCCCGAGTCCTTTCCCCGAGCTCCAACTCCACCCCCCTCGTACCCACCATTCACCGTTTCATCTCACGCCTTGGACCTGCTTCAGTCAGAGTTGGAGGCCGAAACAAATTTCCTCTCGATCGATCAGCTCGAGCAGCTGCGCGCGACACTCTTTGACAAGGTGTGGGTTGACAGGAAAGAATGGGACAGGACAGAGACAGTGGAAAAGATGAGGAAGAGGTTGGCAGAGTATGTCAGGGAGGTTGAGAGGTGGCGGGAGAGAGGTGGATGGGGCGAGTAACCTGGTTTGGTTTCTGATTTTATTTCACTTTTGGTTTTTGGTCCTAAAAATGCGTGTAACAGCCACACCACCACTGATATGCAGATAATATACCAATACATGCTTCTCTCTATTACTACTCTTTCTGTATGAAAGGCCGCGTTTACTTCTGAGCCCACTTGGGAGGCTCATCCTTGCCGGCTTCCTCAAGCTCATCGCCTTCTTCCTTGGTTTGATTGACTGTCGTCTCGGCGTGCTCGGCTGGAGCGTAGACGGTGAAGAGGGAGAGGGGAGTGGGGCCGGTATTCAGGACTGATGACAGAGTCAGAGACTGTGGAGCCGCATGTCCGATCGTTGTACTCACAGTTGTGCTTGGTGCCCTGGGGAACGATGACAAGATCCCCAGCCTTGATCTCCTTCTCTTCTCCGCCGACGATCGCTCGGGCTGTACCCGAAGTAAACACAAGGTGCTGGTCGACGGTGTGAACTTCCTCTCCGATCTCGCCTCCCACTGGAATGGTCACTGGGATTTCTGTCAGTCTCGTTGGGAAGATAGATCGAGACGCTTACTGAGGACGAGCTGACTGCTCTCTCCTGTCCACAACACATTCCTGAACTCGGCGTGCTCGCTGGGCAAAGAGGTGGTGATGCGGGGGAAGACGGACATCTTGTGGGCAGGGGGCGACATGCTGGCTAATCTGGGAGAGGTGCTGAGTGAGCGGATGTGGCGGGCGATGCGGGGGGTGGAGCGGAGGATGGAAGACATACTGTTTGAATTAGATTAGTCGAAGAAAGAGATAGATGGGAGACGCACTTGATATGCAGTTGATATTGTGACCCAGGCTGTGACTTGTATTTATACTACACAGACAACCCGATGATGTGATCCTTTGCCTAACAGTCGGCCCAGAAACATTACGAGTGACGTCAAAGCGCGATCGGCCTCCACCGCGGACATGTCCCGATCTCCGCGACTGGACTCCGCCATAATGGCCGGCGATTTGTATGCAGTCTCTTGTTTGGCCCCCTATCACCGCCACCATGAGTGCATCCCGCCCCAAGCGAAAGATGATCATCCCCAAGCCACGGGGAATACAGGCCATCGCCGCCACCCTCCCACACGGCAGCCCAGCAGCGGCACAGAGTGGCAAGTTTACGCCGGCGGCATCGGCAGGCTCATCGAGAAGCACCCCACGCCCGGCTACTAGCAACAAGGGTAGAGGAGAGAAAGAAGTGCAAGGGAAAGGCAAAAGCATCGGTATGTAGTCAGTCATACCGAGCTGCAGCAGCTGACACACTGCAGGATCCACTGCTGTATCGCCGATATCAATCGCGTCAACCGTTCAAGTGATATCTTCAGACGACGACGAAGAAGACGAGGATCTCGAAGAAGTGCCAATACCAACAGCTCCTTCTTCTCCTTACCCGAACACACCTATATCCCAACCCACAGGCACATCAACACCACTCGTCGGTGAACATGCCGCCGAAGACGAAGATGACGAAGACGAAGAAGAAGATGACGGCGTGATTCACTTGGAGATTGGCGGAGAGACTGCAGAAGAAAAGGCGAAGCGGATAGCACTCATGAACAGAAAGAAGCCCATGACAGCTAGAGATCGGGCCTTGAGGCTGGAGGTGCACAAGGTGCATGTAATTGCTCTGCTCGCAAGCTCCAGTCAGCGGAACAGGTGGTGTAACGATACGCTCCTGAAAGTGAGTAGCTTTTCATATTCTACTTTACATGCCTGACAATACACAAGGCCCGACTCCTGTCGCTCCTCCCACACCCTCTTCAAGCAGCGTTCAACATCCCTCCATCTCGGTTCCCCGATCGAGCCCAGCGTTCTCGTCTATTCTTTGATGCTCTCCAGACCCTCGTGACTTGGTGGTCCCAGACCTTTTTCGACATCTCCGACTATACCCTCGGTATCCGTACACGACCATGGGACGACGTTCAAGAGATCATCGAGTCTATCCCAAAGGAGCAGCTGAGAACGTTTCCAAAGTACGAAGAGGAGAAGAGCGGCAAGAAGGGCAAAGCAAGAGAAGAGAATCCCGTCCTCGAGACGCTCGAGCAAGAGTGTGGTGGGGAGCGACTCCGTTCAATCAACTCGCTCATGAAAAAGGCTCTCCAACAAGAAGGCTCCCGGGACGTCTCTGCACAGCTGTTTGTCTCTCTCGCCCGAGCAGCTGGGCTTGGAGCAAGACTGGTCACATCCCTGCAGGCTGTTCCCTGGAAAGCGGAAAAGGCAGGGACGAAGAAGAAGAAACCACAAGGTGCTGGCAAGGGTGGGCGGACGGTGGCCAGCAGGCAAGGTATGGGAGACGATGAGGATGACGAGGATGAAGATGAGCTGGAGGAAGTGCCTATACCTGGTGTTTCTGACGGCGAAAAGAAGAGCAACACCCGAGGTGCTGGGAAAAGGCGACTTAAAGATCCCGCCGACTTGTATCGACTCCGAAAGTACCGCCCGCCGCCGCAAAAACTTGGGTCAAAACGAAAAGTAAAGCAAGATCTCTCGGACCAGCCGCCCGTGTTTTGGGCAGAAATCTTCTCGAGGCCGGATCAGCGTTGGATACCTGTTGACCCCGTGCGGGGAGTTATCAGGAAGAAGCAGCATTATGAACCGACGAGTGATAGCGGACCAGTGAGAATGTTGTATGTGGTGGCGTTTGAGGAAGGTGAGTCTTGCTTTTCCTTCACGGGCGCAATACTGACAGTGTGGTAGACGGATATGCAAGGGACGTGACTCTGCGGTACACCAAGAACTTTTACGCCAAGACGAGCAAGTTGCGGCCTCCCACGCGCCCTGACGAGGCGGATTGGTGGAGTCAGAGTGTGATGGGGTTCTTGCGACGGCCATATCGACTGGTACGTATGCTTCAGTTGCACGTGTGGATGCGACTGACTTGACCAGAACCGAGATGATCTTGAGGATGCTGAGCTTGAGATGAGTCAGGAGAGCGAAAAGATGCCTCAACATATGAGCGGGTTCAAAGACCACCCAATGTAGGCCTCATCTTTGAACAACATAACTGAGACTGACTTGTCGCAGATACGTGCTCAAGCGCCACCTCCGCCAGACCCAAGTACTCCCCGCAAACACCAATCCTATCGGTCACTTCAAAGGCGAACCAGTCTTCCGCCGGTCTTCTGTGCTCGAAGTCAAGACCCCCGAAAATTGGTTGCGATCCGGCCGCATCACCAAGCCCAACCAAGATCCGTTGAAATGGATCAAACAGAGGGCGGTGACTTTGGAAAAGAGGAGGCGGATGGAGCTGGCAAAGGAACAAGGGGAAGAGATGGAGCAGGGGTTGTATGCAGAGTGGCAGACGGAAGTGTATGTGCCGCCGGCAATTGTGGATGGGGTGATTCCGAGGAATTCGTTTGGGAACATTGACCTGTATGCGCCGACTATGCTGCCTGTTGGAGCTGTGCATCTGCCTTGTAAGTCTCTTTCCGTCGCATTGACGACTCTGACTGGTCCATAGACAAGGGTATTGCCAAAGTTGCCAAAAGCCTCAACATAAGCTATGCCGAAGCTGTCGTACGTTTCATCTCACCCGCACTTGTCTGGCTGACATGTCTTTCAAGACTGGCTTCGAGTTCAAGAAACAGCGCGCTGTTCCAACCCTCAGCGGTATCGTCGTCGCCGCAGAAAACAAGCAGCTCGTGCTTGAAGCCTACGAAGAATCTACCGCAGCTGCCGAGGAGAGAGAGCGGGTGAAGCGGGAAGAAAAAGCCTTGAAGCGTTGGGTGAAACTCGTGAATGGTTTGAGGGTACGACTAAGATTGAGGGAAGAATATGGTGGAACAGGCGTGAGTGATGGATCTAAAGGGTTCGATGAACCACTGATCATTTTCAGGACACTGCCAACCCACTTGGCGAGGCTCCGGACCCAGAGAACACCAACAACCTCCCTCGCAATCCAGGTGGCAAAACGGCCAAAGATGTTTTGGCTGCGGCACACAAGATGGCCACTCAAGCATGGGAAGACAGTGTCGGCGGCGAAGAAGAGGATGCGGTCGACCAAGGCATGGAGGAAGTCGACGTCCCTGATCCGGCTCTGCCGAGGAATGAAGTCAAGCTGGAGAGAGAAGAGAAGAAAGAGCAAGAAGAGGTGGAAGTGGAGGCACAAGCGTCAACAAGGCCAAAGGTCATGCTTCGTTTCAACAACCCAAGATCCAATGCTTCTTCCCCCGCATTACCTTTACATACTTCTCCTGCACCTAGCAAGAGAGCAACACGTCAGCGCCAGCCGCCTCGTCAGTCCACACGGGCTGCTGGGAAACGCAAAGCTAGGACGCCCTCTGAGGAAGAGGAAGAAGAAACGTCAGAAGACGAGATTCTAGAAATCCCAGAAACCTCGCGAGGAAAGGGCAAGAGTACTAAAGCGGTACCTATCCCGCATGCGGACGGTGGGAGAAGAAGCCTGAGAAGCCGGGGGGGAAAGACGAAAGAGCAAGAGGAGGAGGAAAGGCTGAAGAATGAGAGAATGCGGCTGGCATTGGCCAGCGACGACGACGCCAGTGAGGAGGACTATCTGTAACGTAGACTTGGGTCCGTACCAGTTGTATAGTGCCCTGCCATCTCGACCTTTGTAGGTATGTTTTGAAGTATAATTATCCATGAACGTGAAAATTGGCGTCAGGCGTGGCAGCTTATCGCAGTTCGCGGGCTTATCAGTTCGGGCGCCCGACAGTTCCTGATTCACATCCCGCTTTGCTTCTTTACATTTCATTCTTCTCATTCATACTTTGTACATACTTGACACGACGCTCTCTCACTTTCGGTACTGTCATGGATCAATCTCGCTCCCGTATGTCCCCAACTCTCGTTTCGCCTGTCCCTGACAATTTCTCAGTCTCTCTCCACGAGCGTTTCAGCCTCGCCAGACGAAACGCTGGCCATCCGCCCATCATCACCATTGCCGCTGCCTACCCTACGCCTTCCTCTGCCCCTACCCAAGATTTTCTCGAGAAGCGTATCGCAGAGATACAGACGCACTTCCCCCAGCTCTATGCCCGAGTCAAAGATGCTCGTACGACTTCACCGAGGCAGGTTCTCAGGGACCGACCTTGGGACAGCAGCGAGGTCCTGAGGGCGGAGGTCTACTCGGCGCATGAGGACAAGGACAAAGAGCTAGCCGCGCTACTACTCTTTGAGGGAAAGAGGATGGTTGGTGAAAATGTCGAGATAGCTCCGCTCTGGCAAATCACCGTCTACACCTGCCCCACAAGATCGAGAGCTTACGTATCTCTCTCTGTCGACCATCTCCTTGTAGATGGTCGGGGTCTATCTATCCTTTTCGCGGCCATTTTGGCCAAGGATATCAGTGGCCTTCCCTACGAAAAGCTGGAAGCGATGCCGCGGCTAGAGGATACGATCGACATGAAACCGTCTTTGACATTTGCTTTGCCTCTCATATGGCAGCATCTCGTTCTCCCCCGCCTTCCCCTCTTTCTTCAGGAATACCTTACCCCCGCCAAGGAATGGCCCGCCGACTTGATCGCTGCCTCTCCATTGACATCTCCGGCGGGTTGCTCTGTATTTTCCCTGTCCCCGGATGAGGTGTCGCAGCTGAAAGCTATTGCCAAAGCGCACGGCGTACCAACTCTGAACCCAGTCATCAACGCCATCTACGCCCTGGCCGTCTGGTCAAGATATCGCTACACCCTCAAGCCATTCCGACTCATTCTAAAATCTGCTCGATCAGAGCGAGACAGTTCCTTTGGGCATTCTCATGCTCTGGGCAATTATGTCAGCTCCCACAAGATTGAGGTAGACATCAAGCTCGGAGGAGATTTTTGGGCGGTGGTACGGACTATCTCGGATCAGCTGAGCAGTCAGCAGGCCATTTCGAGAGCGCGTATGAGGATAGGTATGCTGTCCCAGATCCCAGATGGTCCCTACACTTCTCCCACTGGCGATCCCGACCCTCTGAGACCTACCTTGTTCGAGGATTTTTGGCTAAAGGGCGCAGAATCGGCCATGCCACTGGACACTGCGCTGGGCGCCTCCAATATTGGCTTGGTGCGTCTTCCCGAAGGTGCGGAGGACATGGCCTGGGCGCAAATTGCAGACGGGCTGGGGCAAGAAGTGTTTGCGCTTGCTGTCATTGGCCATGAGGGCGGGGTCAAGATTGGGACTCTCTTCTGCGAGGGAGCGGCAGTAAGGAGCGACGAGGTGGAAGCGGTGGAGAAGCTGTTCAAGGAGATCTTGCACAAGCTGATTGCAGGTAAGGAAAGTGTTGATGACCTGGCATAATTTGCGCTCTATTTGAGAAAGGTTTGGAATGCATAACCAAAGACAGTCCATAGATGACCTTTATCGCGGAGCCCAACATGACTTGTGATGGGGGGTGTCTTGTTGTGGCCTCCATCGAATTTGAGCTGGGCTTTCGCATCGTCATGGTACAGGTAAAGACGAAAGAGCAAAGCTTCAATAGGAGACTTAAGAGTAGGAGGAGACCGGCAATGGCGTGATTATGAGGTCAGAGTCGAACTTGAGCTGTACTCGTATATACTACGGACATCTTCATTCGGGCACCCGACCGTTCCTGAAATCTTGTTTTGTGTGAATTTCAATCACATCCTTTAGCCTTTGCTTTTGCATCTCATTCTTCTTCCCATTCTTCCACCATTCTTCACCCCCATTGCCCTTTTACTCTGCCATGACCCAATCCCGTCCTCGTACGTCTGCTGTAAACTTCCTGCCCGCATGTACCTGACGACGTTCCCCAGTCTCCCTCCACGAGCGCTTCAGTCTCGCCAGGCGCAACGCTGGTCAACCACCCATCCTCACCATCGCTGCCGTCTACTCTGCCGCCGCCTCTGCTCCTACCCTCGATTTTCTCTCACAACGCATCGCTGAGATCCAGGCACATTTCCCACAGCTGTATGCCCTAATCCAAGATGCCCGCTCGGCTTCGCCGAGCCAGGTTCTCAGAGATGGCCCCTGGGAGAGCAGCGCGGTGTTGAGGACAGGGGTGTACTCGGAAGAGAAAAATAGAGACAAGGAGCTTGCTGGGGTGCTGCTTCTTGACGGGAAGAGGATGCTTGGAGAAGATGTCGAAAGAGCCCCGCTCTGGCAAATCACCGTCTACACCAGCCCCTCCAAACCAAGGGTCTACGTGTCTCTTTCTGTCGACCATGTGCTGCTTGATGGTCGGGGGGTGGCCATCCTCCTCCAGGCCATCCTCGCAAAGCACATCGCTGGTCTGCCTTATGAACAGCTTGAAACGACGCCAAGGGTGGAAGACACAGTCGACATGAAGCCGACTCTGGCTTTTGCTTTGCCCCTTATCTGGCATCATCTCATCCTTCCCCGACTCCCCCTATTTCTCCAGAGGTCCCTTACTCCCGCCAAAGCATGGCCTGCCGACCTCATTTCTGCTACTCCCTTGACATCCCCTTCGGCCTTTTCACTGTTCACCTTGTCTTTGAACGAGGTATCGCAGCTGAAAACCATTGCCAAAGCGCATGGCGTACCAACTCTCAATCCCGTTATCAATGCCATCTACGCCCTGGCCATTTGGTCCAAGTACCGCTACACCCTCAGTCCCTTCCGGCTCGTGGCCATCTCTGCTCGATCCGAACGAGACAATTCTCTCGGGCATCCTCATGCTTTGGGCAATTATGTCAGCTCCCACAAAATCGAGGTAGACATCAAACCCGGATCAGACTTCTGGGCGGTGGCGCGGACTATCTCGGATCAGTTGAGCAGTCAGGAGTCCATCTCGCATGCGCGTATGAGAATGGGTATGCTGTCACAAATCCCTGGTGGCCTCTACACATCCCCGACTGGGATTCCCGACCCCCTCAGACCTACCTTGTTTGAGGACTTTCTACTCAAGGGTGCAGAATCCGCCACACCACTCGATACTGCGTTGGCTTTTTCCAATCTTGGCTTTGTGCACCTTCCCGAGGGTGCGGAGGACATGGCCTGGGCACAGGCTGCAGATGGGTTGGGGAATTCGGTGTTTTCGACCAACGTCATCGGCCATGAGGGAGGGGTCAAGGTGGGGACCAACTTCAGTGAGGGAGCAGCAGTGAGGACGGACGAGGTGGAAGGCGTGAAGGAGCTGTTCAAGGGGATCGTGCACAAGCTCATCGAGGGGAAGAGCAATGTCAATGACCTGGGATAGCGTACACTGTCACGTACATATATTATTTTAAGTCGCCCGCAATGGGATGCATGCCGCGGAGTCACTTGCAGTGCTCGGTGTTCCGTCGCTTCCGTCCTCGTCGCCAAATGGTCTTTGTGTACATTCGCAGCGAGCATCCTTCTCTTTCATCTTTCTCTTTCATCTTTCTCTTTCTCTTCTCTCCATCTCTCCTCCCGCCATGTGCCCCGACGAGCTCCCCTCCCGTCCTAGTCAGTCCCTCCCATCTCCTTCCATACGTCCTTCCCCGGCTGACAATCACTCCTTAGTCTCCTTGACCGAACGCTTCAACCTGGCCAGACGCAATGTCGGCCAGCCCTCCATCCTCACCTTCGTCGCTGCCTATCCATCAGCCAGTGACGCTCCCTCCAGAGCATTACTCGCTCGCCGCATCGCCGAGCTTCAGGAACACTTCCCCCAGCTGTACGCACGGTATCAGGGCCGGCGCACCCCCGAGCCTACGCAGGTGCTCAGAGCAAAGGCGTGGAGCAGCGAACGAGTGCTGGGAGAGGCGGTGCATGAGCATCTTGCTGCAGGCGACGACAAGGAGATGGCAGTGCTGCTCTCTGCGGAGGGACAGCGCATGATCAAGAAGGATTTCGACAATGACCCCTTATGGCAGGTCCGTGTATACTCTACTCCATCCAGCTCCCGCGTCTACATTACTCTCTCCGTTGACCATGCTCTCATGGACGGGAGGGGCACAGCCAACCTGTTCGATGCGCTTCTCACCAAAGACATCTCCCAACTGCCGTACGAAAGGCTCGAGGCGACACCTCGGGACGAAGATGTGCTTCCCCTGAAGCCGAGCTTGTTGCAAGCCCTTCCCATCGTTTGGCAGGAGATCATCCTCCCTCGCTTGCCGTCGTTTCTAGCAAAATACTTCATACAGCCCAAGTCATGGCCTGCACATCTCATTGCCGAATCGCCTTCTACTGCCCCTTCCGCCTACTCGCTCTTCTCGCTTTCCTCCAAAGAGGTGTCGGCCATCAAAAGCATCTCCAGGACGCATGACGTCTCTACGCTCAACTCAGTATTGAAGTGTATCTACGCACTTGCCATATGGTCAAAGTATCATTATACCCTCTCGCCCTTCCGCCTCTCGGCCACTACTGCTCGCTCCGAGCGGAAGTTTTCCCTAGGCTGCTCCTACGCGTTTTCCAACTATGTCAGTTCTCACAAGGTTGTAATCAAGTTTGAACCCCACGCTAGCTTCTGGTCGGTGGCTAGGGATGTGTCGCATGAGCTCAATACCGACCGCTCTCTGTCCGACGCTAGATTACGGATAGGCATGCTTTCCTACATTCCTAGCGGTCCCTACGTGTCTCCATCAGGGGAACCTGACCCTCTTCGACCAACCCAATACGAAGCCTTCTTTCTCCGCAGTATGTCCTCTCCCACCCCGATCCATGCCGCTCTAGCATTCTCCAATTTGGGCCTCGTCAAACTACCTCCCGGAGCAAGTGACCTCGCGTGGGCGGAGACCGCCTCGTCCATGGGAAGCTCGGTGTTCGGGGCGGTGGTGGTCGGCCATGAAGGGGGCGTAAGAATTGGGACGACGTGGAAAGATGGGGCAGTGGTGTGTAGGGACGAAGTGGAGGATGTGGAGAGGATATTCAGGGTCATTTTGGAGAGGTTGGTGGATGGAAAAGAGAGTGTGAAAGAGTTGGTCAATGCCAGTGGTCTTGGGCAATCTGTGAGTGTTTCCGGATGCAAACATAGGCTTCTGCTGACCAGAGCCTAGAGGGGGTGAAGTTGTGGTTGTGATTCATAGTTGACAGTATGACTATACAGGGCTAGAATGTAAACTTGATGGTATCTCAGCACCTCGTCGACATGCCCCAGCTGTTGTCGCCCCTTTACCGCCGTTTCAGAACGCGGTACAAAAGGATATAGTCCATCCTTGTGCCACCCTTGACGATGATCACATCCATTCATGGTCCACTTGGCACCAACGTGCCTAGTGAGACTTGGGGACTTGGGGCAGCCAGTCGTCTGCGGCAAACTGTAGGGTGAAGAAAGGATCCGCTGGGCTAAAGGGGTCTGCCTGCAAGCACACAAGCTGTGAAAGGTGCTCTTCTCGGCAAAACGGCCGAGCCCCCACCTCAGCGGCTCTATAAAACGTTCACCCCAGTCCAACAACCGTCTCTCGCTCGATTGCTCAAGAGTAATCGCCAGCGTCTCTCACACCATGTCGTCAGCAGAGGAAAAGAAAAAGCAGAAGAAGAAGGAAGAGGAAGAGCTGAAAGCGAAGCGGAAAGAGTACATGTCCAAAGCGGACCCCTCGACGGTGGAGAAGATGCTGGGTGGAGGCGATTTCGGGAAAGACTACTTCAAGGAAGGCGAATGGAAGCCGAGCTGGACTTATCTGGAGTTTGTGAGTCGGTTCATGTTGTGCGTCTTGAGATGACTGATGAGCGACCCAGAATGGTGATGCTTGTCTGGCGGATGTGCTCGGTAAACCCCAGGAAGGATTCTACGCGCCAGCTGGAACGATGCTTCCTTTGGGTGCTCAATTGCCCGAGATGACAGTGTTGAAGTATGGCGGGTGAGTGCCTCCTTTGTCCTTTGTCTTTGCAAGAGCACGGCTCAGTATCCGTCCTAAAGGTATATCCCGGAAGGAACGTCCTTCCCTGGAGGCGTGATGGTACCGATGCACGCTCGTATGGTCAATGTAAGTTGGAGGCTGCTCGCGACGTGTCTTGAACGCAACGCTGACGTTGGGCAAAGCTGCTTCCGAAGGAAACCACCAAGCCAGCTCCAAAGCCAGCATCAGAGTCGCTCTGCTCAGTGATGTGATGCTTCGGTATCCCGGAGTAGTGCATGCATACAGATACAAGTTGTCCACCCTGTTTTTGTGTACCTGCTATGGCCCGGTGGACATGTCCGCATAGTAACACCGGTGTTGTTTGGTGCCGTCTACAGACCGCTATCATTTCTTTCTTCTGTTCATTCATCTTTCGCCCTCTTGCAGTGAGGCAGCACCCCCCCCTCCCTCTTCTCTCGACTCTACTCAAGTTTCGAATCCATGTCGCCATCACCCGGGCGTCCCCGTCAGTTCTCGGCCTCGCGGCAGGCAACTGCATGATGCTGACATGCCATTGTAGTCGCCCTGCGAGAACGACTCAGTCTCGCTCGGACAAACGCTGGCTACCCAGCTATTATCACTATGGCGGTTGTATACCCATCATCCTCCTCTGCGCCTTCAGATGTCTTTCTTGCCCGCCGGATCGCCGAGATTCAAACACATTTCCCTCAGCTCTATGCCCGAGTCGCAGCAGCGCACACGACGGATCCTGTACAGATTCTGCGGGACAGGCCTTGGAAGAGCTCAGAGGTACTCCGAAAAGGGGTCTATCTCCCTCAACAGACCAAAGACAAAGAGTTTGCTGCGGTACTGCATCTCGACGGGCAAAGGATGATGCAAGAGGACTTTGACAATGCTCCGCTTTGGCAGATCACTGTCTATGCGAGCACCTCTCAGTCCAGAGTATATGTGGCACTCTCCGTTGAGCACGTCATGATAGATGGGCGTGGCATGGCCAATCTCTTTCAAGCTCTTCTCGCCGAAGACATCTCCCACCTGCCCCAGGAGACGCTGGAAGCAACTCCGCGGGCTGAGGATACAATCAACATGAGACCGTCTTTGGCATTTGCTGTCCCTCTCATTTGGTACCACATCGTTCTCCCCCGCCTTCCCAGCTTTCTCCAGACTTACTTTGCCCCTGCAAAACCATGGCCAGCAGAACAGATCGACATATCGCCCCTGGCTTCTCCCTCGGCACTTTCTCTCTTTAGCCTATCCTCGGGCGACGTTTCCCAGCTCAAAGCACTCGCCAGGCTGCATAAAGTGCCGGCTTTGAATGCCGTTCTGCTTGCTATGTACGGCCTGGCGGTATGGTCAAAGTACGGCTACACTCTGCGCCCCTTTCGGCTGGTCGCCATCTCTGCCCGATCCGAACGAGACGCGTCCCTCGGCCATGCCTACGCCCTCTCCAACTATGTCAGCTCGCACCAAATTGATGTTTGCATCCAGTCCGGAGACGACTTTTGGACTATTGCCAGGAAGGTGTCGTATGACACGAGCAATCCTCGGGCAATATCGCATGCCAGGATGAGGATGGGCATGATCGCCCAGATTCCTGATGGCATTTACATCTCGCCCAACGGTGAGCCCGACCCCTGCCGACCGACACTCTTTGAAGATTTCCTTCTGAATAACGCGAGCCTTCCCACACCTTTCACCAATGGTTTCGCTCTCTCCAATTTGGGCTTGTTGCCGCTTCCTGAAGGCGCAGAGGATTTAGCTTGGGCACAGGTAGCAAACGGGCTGGGAGGAGAGGTCTTTACAGTGGCTGTTGTGGGGCATCAGGATGGTGTCAGGCTCAGTACAAGTTTCAAGGATGGTTCGGCTGTGAGGAGAAGTGAGGTGGAAGATGTGGAACAGATCTTTGGGATCATCTTGGGAAGGTTGTTGGATGGGATGGACACGGTGGACGAATTGATACGTAGGAGATAAATGAGTGAGTGCGGTACAGATGGGTGTGCGGTATCGTTGGCCGATGGTACATGTTCACAGCCAAAGAGTCACCTACAAGTTCTTTTTTGAACGTCTAATTCACGCCGTCAACACACACGCGACAAACAGAGTAGTCGCCCTCGAATGGACATCGACCCCAGGTCCTGCAGATGCTTCATACCCACTGTATAGTGCGCACTTTCACTACAAGTTTGCATTCGAATTGCATAGTAATCACAACAATAGTCTACTCTATATGCAGCCGCCTGTTTATAATACGAAGAGAGAAAAAACGCTACACTCCTGTACTTGGATCTCCCTGAACACCATGCGATTTCCTACTTTCTCACGTTGTCACCACCATTCTTTCCACCAGCCAACACAAGATCTGTGATGTAGATAGTAAAGCTGTCGAAGAGCTCAACAGTTGCCCAATCGAAGGAGCAAAAAGTTGGAGGAGTGAAAGTTGTACTTGTTTTTGAGCCGCTCAACACTTTCTGGATCATTGTGGATACTATCCTCACGGTCAGCTCAAAGGCTCGTCAAGTGAGGAGGTGACAGTACCCATCAAAGTACGTTGCACCCAGAAGAGCATCCGATTTACGATAACCTTCCATCAGGCTGCAATCCGAGTCAGCCTCATTCAATCACCCCGTGACGAGTACATACTCGAAGAAACCCATTCTACGCTTCTCAAAGCTGCGCCCCAGGTCAGTGTCCGTATAATTTGAAAGTGTTTGGGTGAGAGAAGGTGGTGGTGATATGAAGGACAGTGTCCAACGTACTATTGCTGTTCCACTAGAGATATCGTCAGCGACAGTGCAGAGAGAGAACGAAAAGAGTCGACACACTGATTCTAACGGCTCGAGGGTCTGTGGTCAAGGCGCATACGTTAGCCACGCCCATTGTCGCAAACAAAGATGCTTACGCATTTCTCCCAATTCGTCGACATACACTGTCGTGGGTCAGCTCAAAGTCTGATCCTTACTCAGAGGGTTCGAGGACTCACGTGGTGACGCGAAGAAGTCATATCTAGGTACAATTCAGCTCATGTCACTACCGCGAGAATATTCAACTCACATCGCAAACAAGACATCCTCACATGTTATCCCCTTCCTCAAAACGTTGAGCTTGAGTCTAAGATTGACAGAGAAGGTACGCACCATACGATTCCTGACGCGGATAGCCCAACCTGTTTCGACATGCCCTAAGTTGAGTTCTTCCACTATCGGCGATGTTGCTGGTTGTCCTCTTTCTTTGATCCCTGGAGACGGTCAGTCGCAGTCAGGGAGATTGACATTGATGTACTCACATTCCTATTGACAAAAAAAGAAGCAGCTGGTAAGAAGCGTCCTTCTACGTTGGGCCATAGACTTACGGTTTCGGTATCTACATGTAACGATTAGCGATACCCTCCTTGCCGTGTTTGTCTGTACTCACCATCAAAATCAACCCAGATTGCAGCAAACATAGGATGCTGAGAGATTGTCAGTAAGCTCCGCCCGGCAAGAACCCGTCTTCTTTTCATTCTTCCGACATTCGCCCCTCCTTTGTCCCCTCCCTTCCCGTGCTCCTTGCCTTATCCGCCCCCTTCACCAGAAGCAAGAGACCCACCTCGATAGCATTCCAAGCCAGATACTTTGGGTAGGGTTTGGGGTCCCAAGTACGGAGCTGCAGAAGGGGGTGAATCTTGAGTGGTGTTGTGAGCTGGGCTGCTTGGAGGTAGGAGAGTACTGGGCCGTAACCGGGTCGTCTGAGAGGTGAGCTGGCATCTCATGTATGGGGCATTGGACGTACGCCGGCTTGAAGGGGCCGATGGTGATAGCTGGACATGGTTAGTTGCGGATTCGCGGGGGGCGCAAAATGGCTCACCGGCATCACGAGGGGCACCGGTTGGGACGAGCGACATGGTGGGGGCGGGTCGATGTGACTATGCTGAGTGGAGAGGCGGCGGTGTGCAAAGGGGCGGGGTGGCTGGAGAGGCGGGATATAGTGGTCGATGGAAGAAGATGGAAAGGGAAAGAGGAAATGGATGAAGTGTTGTTAGAAATCAGGGAATGGGACACACACGGAGACCAATGCACACAGATGCTCAAACGGGGCAGCGTCGTGCAGGAATTCCCAAAGGGCTCACCGGATCGGGAAGGTGGAGACGGGTACAGCGGCGCCCAGTAGCATGTATGGCATGTATGGCATGCATAGCATGGATGTCGTGGAGGGAAGAGAGAGATGCATGCAGAATCAAAGAGGACGGCCCGACTGGCTATTGTTTGGCTCCGACGCGCCGTGCGGACATGGCCGCCCTCTCTCGCTATACATATGTACATGCTAAGATGCTCTCTGTACGACTTTGTGAGACTACTGAGAAGTCTCATTGATGATATCTAGAGTAAAGGACATCGGGTATATCAATGCTCACCGCTCGGAGTAAACACGCCTGTGAAAGTTAGAGGACGCAAGGTCTGTTTAGGGCGTTTCGACTTTCGATTGCATTTTGTACCCCGCATGTAACATGATCACCACATCGATCAAGAAGTGATGAGCACATGATTTATTCGTAAATGGTATTCATTACAACATATAGCCAGTCTCAACTCTAGCCTCTATCCCCGCAGCTCCACGGGCGGAGGCAGAGTAGGTATACCCCCCAGCTCAAACTTATCGCTCCTATACGCCGTCTCCACACTCTCATCCAGCTTTCCATCTTCCAACGCGTCTCTGACCGTTATCCACGTCCAAGGGTCAGCCCACGACCAGCCTGACGGGATTTCGCCATCCGGCTGGGGGAGTGACGATGCCTGGGGCGGGGCCGCACCGAATGCTGAAGGCTGGGAGAAGGCCGAACCTGAACCAAAGGCAGAGGTGGCAGCAGGTTTGGCCCCAAAAGCAGAGCCACTTCCGAATGCAGACGTAGCTGGGGCAGCTTGGCCAAATGCTGATGGAGCTGCCGGGGGAGCAGACTGGCCGAATGGATTGGCTGGAGCAGAGGGTGCGGCAGGTGCAGCGAAGGGGTTGGCAGCAGCCGGCTTGTCGCCTGAGAACGCACCAAATGCACTACCCGATGCTGGAGCAGCTCCAAACGCCGAAGTACCTGCTGCCGGTGTGGACCCCAACGCACTCGCTTTTTGCCCAAAGCCTGTTTGACCGAAAGCAGATCCTGCTGTAGGTGCAGCAGGAGCAGGGCTGCTACCAAAAGCGGATTGGCCAAACGCCGAGCTTGAGGGAGCAGCAGCAGGAGAAGAGCCACCGAAAGCTGACTGGCCAAAAGCTGAGCCCGCAGAAGGGGCCGTCGTTGCTGGCTTTGCGCCGAATGCCGATGTACCGAACGCTGATGGATTTGAGCTGCCCCCGAACGCAGAAGGTGCAGGTGAAGAGCCGAATGCCGAGCCAGCAGGTTGTGCCCCAAAAGCAGAAGGGGCTGAAGACCCTCCAAATGCAGAGCCAGCAGGTTTAGCACTCTGGCCGAAAGCAGAAGTGCCGAAACCGGATCCAGTACTAGCCGGGGTTGGCGGATTCGCAGCCCCGAACGCTGATGTGGTAGTGCTGGAACCGAACGAGGATGATCCGAATGCAGAGGATGCAGGTTTGGCGCCGAAAGCAGATTGACCGAATGCCCCGCCCCCGGAAGCTGCTGGAGCAGCTGTCGACCCAAAGGCGCCTCCTGAGGGGGCGGGGGTGGCGCCAAATGCTGACCCTCCAGTGCTCCCCGAGCCAAAAGCACCGCCGCTTCCAAAAGCTGAAGGCTTGCTGTTGCCTCCGAACGAACTCTGCCCAAAAGCCCCGCCTGTGGGGGCACCCCCGAAAGCACCCGGCTTGTTGCTGCCAAACGCCCCACCGGACCCAAAGGAAGATCCTCCTGATGACCCAAAAGCTCCTGCTGTGTTTCCCCCGCCAAATGCTCCAGCGCTCGACTGAGTAGCAGCTAGTAAAGCAGCTTCGGAAAAGGAGGTTGGCCGCGACTGAGTCCCTGGTATCTCGCCGTTCAGAAATCGAGCTTCATGGAGCTTTTGCGCATTGGCAAAGGTGTTGGAGAGGTGGGTGACCAGGTTCATGATCTTTTGCTTCGAGTTGTTGATGAGAGTCTGCTCCTCTTGCACCTGAGTGGCGTCAGTACTTGTTTTGACGAGTGGCAATTGACGCACGTATTCTTGCCCCTTGTTCTCGTTCAGAGCGACCCAGCTCTTGTACCTCAGCTCTTCTGGTGAAAGATCACCGTCGTATATCAGGTTTGGCTCAAACTTGGCAGCACCATAGTTGGACAGGATGTATTGCGGCAGCTCAACCGTGAGGTCATTCCGGATGGTTTCCTCGCTGCATCATGATTAGCCGGTTTCGCATGTCGAGTAAAGAGGCATGGGCCATACGTGAACTGGTATTGGGGCTTGCTGTTTCCCGCCTGTTGCCCCTTGGGGGGGTGGTAGAACTTGCACGAGTTGCCGAAGCGACAGTGGCTGAAACGGGTGTTAAGACATGCACTGGAGCAAGAGGGTATGCTCACCCGTTGACCCAATTGCGACAGACCGAAGCAGTACTCATGCTGATGTGTTGATGCTGTGCTTTGTTGTGGCCATGGGGCGCCCTCTGTGGGAGATATGAAAAGCTGGATGACCCAAAGTCGGAATCCAAAATGTCAACAATGAACAAACTGAAGCGACCCTGCACGCCTAACTCGACGAAAGACGCGCAGATGCTTTCAACCAAAACAGTTCCATTTGCTTCTCTGCTTCCTACAATCTCAGAACGACTTCTGTACATTATCAGGTAAGACCGTGGTCCCCCTGCATCAGCCCTGTGACGAAGAATCTGGTAAACCGTAGCTACCCACCCAGGCGACAGGCTTCTCGGCAGTCTTGGACTGCTTTTAGCGGGGAGTCTGGAAATTACACCAGGCCTCTGTTTGCTCTCTGTGCATCGTAGCAGTAATCCTTCGGGACGCTGTAGGTGCCAGAGTATGCGAGTTGTAGGCCTGTAGGGTGTGGAAGGGGAAGTAAAGGCGAGACTGAGGGCTTCAAAGTGTGGCGGGTTCAATGGATCGAGATGCTGACAGACGACTTGTAGTGGATCCCAAGTAGTGTGCATTCTCACTCTATACTCCTGCCTCGCGCCTCTGTAGGACGTGAGCGTTGAAGGAACTGCAAATGCATAAAGAGTGGAATGAGCCTGGAGACCGGAGACAAACACGATTTGCAGCTGGTCGAGCATGCACACATCTCCTCTCCCTTCACTGACGAGGCTGTGCCCCTGTGCCCCTGCCCAGACGGGATGCATGCATACACATACCCTGCATTGCCTCTGGGGCGATGTCACCTAAGCCCGTCACCCGAAGCCGAGGCCGGTGGAGGGCGACGTCAGAGAATCCCTCGGCGCAGCCAAAACAGGCCATTTCTCATCTCTCTTTCATCCATCTCGTTATGTCTGACTCGGCACCCCCTCCCCCCAAACGCAAGAACTACACCTCCTGGACATATACCACCACCACTCCCGACCCATCCCAGCAGACATGGAAGGAGAAGATCAAGTCGAAGGGCAGCGTCTGGGGCAAGTCTGCCCTGGACAAAGGTGTCGCTATCTCGGATAACCTCGGTGGCAAGGTCAACAACTTTGCAGAGCAGAGGCTCGGCACAGAGGCCTTCTGGCCTGTCACGGGTGATTTCATCAAGGAAATGGACAAGTGTGCCAGGATTCTCAGAGCATTCACTGGTATGTCGGTGGCTTTTAGAACGACGTGTGCTGACCAATCCTCAGTGGACGGTCTCGTCACAGAGACCAAAGAGGAAGAGGACGCGAGCGGCGGAAAGAAGAAGAAGAAGGTGATTCGCAAAATCCCACCTGCTGTCATTGCGAAAGCAAAAGGTCTTGCCATCTTTACTTCTATGCGGTCAGGCATCGCGCCGTTCGGTGGCGCTGGTGGAGCTGGACTCGTTGTGGCCAAGCTGCCTGACGGATGTGAGTGTGTTGCTGCGGCTATAACGCAAAGCTGACTTGTACAGCATGGTCCCCCCCTGCATCCATCACGCCGAATAATCTGAGTACAGGTGTATGTCTTGTCATCATCCCATCTACTTGTCCTGACCCCACTTGCAGTTCCTCATCGGGGTAGATGTCTACGACTGTGTACTTGTAATCAACACTGCCAAGGCTCTCGAATCTTTCAGGACTCACAAAGCGACCATCGGTGCCGAGCTCGCTGTCGCTGCCGGGCCATATGGTGCTGGTGCGGCTGTCGAAGCTGGTTTGGAAAAGGCGCCCTTGTTCAGTTATGTCAGAAGTCGAGGGATGTATGCGGGTGTGGAGCTGGTGGCTCAGGTCTTTGTTGAGAGGTTTGAGGAGAACGAGGCAATGTACCACTGGCCCGGCGTCAAGGCCGGCGACATTGTAAGTGACTTTCACGTCGCATTGACCTAATCTGACACGACTGCAGCTGTCTGGCAAAGTGAAGATGCCAATCGAAGCTAGTGGCTTGATGAAGGCCCTGGCCGATGCCGAGTCGGGTCGTGCTCAGAAAGAAAAGGGAGACGCACTCGACATTGTCATTCCCGAAGGCGCATCCCAACTCGAGCTCAACGACGGCGAAGTCCTCAAGCTCCCTCCCACTCCCGATCAGACAGACGGTCACGAGTACGAGAGTGATCCCGAGACGGAAAGGATCCGCCGGGCGTCGAGGCCAGGGAGTCATAACCCGAGTATGAGCGACTTGGGAAATATTCACGCGCCGGTGCCTACACGTCCACCGCCCCTACCTTCACGTCATCCCAACCGACCGTCTCTGACGCATCAGCCTTCTTCAACATCTCATTATTCTGCTTCTCCCCCTCCATCTGCTCCTCCACTCCCGCCTCGATCAAATGTCAACTCTGCCCAGCCATCCCGTGCTACGTCCCCCCATATCCCTGCTGCTGCATCATCAGCACCTGAAGATTTACCCACCTACGCCGAAGTCGAAGTCACACCCGAGGGCGGCGTCAATGCAAAGCCGTATCCCAAAGACGAAAAGGACGCGCAAAAGTTGGGGTTGGCTAAAGATGCCGTGGGCGAGGGTGGAGAGCCGATGAGCCCGGCCGAGCAGAAAGAATGGGAGCAATTCATGGCGGAACATGAAGAAAACCAACGGGCGACTGAGGTAGAGAAGGCGGCTCCTGTGACGGGTGTGGCCAAGGAAGCCGATGTGCTGGCCCAGAGGCTGGATGTTCAACATCTCGACAAGGAGAATGAGAGCGAGAGCCTTCGATAGTTCAGATCTGAAGCCTTCTAAATCCACACGTGATCATAGATGTATCTATAATATACCTTGCGGCCTTCAGACATATAGTCGCCTTCCAAAATTACTGGGCACTCGTTAGGCGACAAGTGGCTGCTGTCTTCGTATCGACCTATTTAGCTGACCAAACAAAGGTGTTTTTGAAAATGCGTTCCGACTCTGCTGCGAATGGAAAGCCGGAGTTGATCCAATTTTTGCCAGCTGGCATCAGCTCATTCGATGGTGGTCTTCTATAGCTAGTGGAACACAGCAAACATGCTCCGTGACGCGTGCGTCTTTCAATAATGCGTGATGTCGGACTTTACGACGCGAACGCAGGATTATCACTGACGATCAAAGGTTCGTGGCTCGGGGACGTCCTCAATTCTCATCATCAAACCTTGTTTTCCATTGATGGAATCGAAGCCTAGTTTAGTAAAGCATGGCACAAGACAACAGCAGGACGTATAAACGACAGGTCGAAACACCTCGGTGTCCACACAACTCTACCACACAAGATATACAATCAGTCGCAGTATTGCACCCGTCACTACTACTAGATCTACCAACCAGCGACACCATCATGAGCTATTCCGGTAACAGCGCAGGAGGTACAGAAGGGTCTGGATTCTCGCGATTCCCCCAAAGTTCGGTGATCTTGTATGTAGATGCACCCATATCAGCTGACGTTGAATTGTTTAGCAAGCCCATCTTCCAGGAATGCGTCCGGCGATCCCGGGCGCCGTTTGGGCCAGACAGCAGATGGTCAGCATCCACCACCACCTGCACGAGAAGGAACTAACGCTGTTCAATGAACCTGTCCAGGAGATGAAGCATACTCTACTGCTCCTGGGACTACCTCCTTCAACAACTCTGCTGGAGGGACGTCTCGCAGCAGGCGCAGCACAGCTGCTCACAACAACTTTGCGGGACCAGGGCACCGACTGGGCGGTAACGAGCAACGAGGCAAGTCATGGGAGGTTCAAGTGCTGAAGCTGACTCTGGAGAAGATGATGCCGCTACCGGAATTTCAGAGCCGGACCACCAGGGAGGCGAAAGGGTAGCCTCGCAAGCCACCGATGCTAACACGAATGGGACTGAGTAGAGGTTCGGATGAATCTTGACCGAAAGGCGCCAGACGTAGAGCAGCAATTTGTTAGTCGATGGGATATGCATACTTTCGAAAGCTTCTCGAGTAGCATAGCACTTCCTCATTCCTTTTATGATTGCCTCTCCCTAGGCCCTCTGTTCGTCCTAGCAGCCTTGCGGGCCCGCTTCTCAGCCTCCTTCAACCTCAGCCGACGCCCTTCTTGGCCAGCGATGCTCAGAGTAGAAATGATGAGCTCGGCGGTTCGGAGACTCTGCAAATCAGTGTGAGCTTTTCCCATCAAACACAAATATCTCATGACGCACCTCCATATTAGCCGGGATGGGGTAGGTGACCAGTCTGGGGTCGGTGTCGGTGTCTACGATACCAACGGTAGGGATATTACGAGATGTGCATTCTCGGATGGCAGGAGTGTTTTCAGAGGGGTTGAGGAAGATGACAAGGTCGGGTTTGTAAGACTTGTTGAGGAGGGGCTGCATTCCAAAGCTAGATAGGTAGTTAGTGACAGCTATGCAGAAGTCTGTAAAGCGACGAACAATGTTTCCGAGTTTGTCAAGACACCAGGCATCCAGCTGTTGACGGCGTAACCATTATCTTCGAGCCTTTCCTTTGCCTTGTGGATCATCTTCGAATGTCCTGCTCTCGTTCCTACTATCAGGATGATGCCATCCTGCTTCACAACATCTCGCACGAGGGCCGCCGTCCTCCTCAGGATTGGCAGCGTCTGGTCCAGATCAATCACCGACAGACCTGCACGCTTGCCGTAGATATAAGGCATATACGCGTGGGAGGTGATGTTTGCCGCGTGTCCGAGGGCGGCACCAGAAGCGAGGAGAGTGGAGAGGGTAGCTTCATGTGGCGTGAGGGATGGTCGGGCCTGAGGAGGAGGGGTGGAGGTTTTGGGGATGAAGAGGGGGATAGTAGATTTTGTTTGCTCTTTGCGCCGACGCCATTCACGAGCCTCTCCGAGGTTTCGCTTCCATGCTTCTTCTTGGGTCTCTCCGGGGAACACAGTCCCCTTTTGAACGCTGTATTCTTGGAGGACGGCGGTTGTCGAGACGAAAGTGCGAGCTGAGTGGGGATGAGTACGTCTCGCGATTGACCTGGGATGCTACGCACCTGCTCTGGAGGGCGCAGCTGAGCGGAGTGTTCTGAGGGCTGTGGCGGCGGGAATGCTCATTGTGGCCGGTCTATGGTCCAAAAGAGTGAGCGCGAAATGAAAGAGGAAAATGTCCATCTTCCGCGCCTATTCCCCAATTCCTTGATCTGGAAGGCGTTAGGCGCGCCTTTTGCTAATGCTGCGGCGAACCCCGCCTGGCAAGTCCATGTTGAACGACAGCGCGTGGCACGTCACTATCTACCAAAATCTACTAATTCTACTACTGTCGTCGTTGGGTGGCTACAGGAGGCGGCAGAAGGGTGAGTATGCATCTAAGAATTCATATGTAGTACGAGCTCATTGATAACCGCCAGATGGCTACAATGCCATAGTCTGCCCATAGATGAACAGCTTCGTAGTAACAAGCCGCTACTCTTAATGAACTCAGCCCAGAGCTTGTCGGCATCCCTACTACGTACACCATTGTGTTCACATACACTGGTAGAGGACAATTGAGGGTGCTCCGGGCTACGCAAGTAGATCCTAAAGGACTCAAGAAGGTGCATGACGTGAGCAAAACGGTGGCTAGCGACGCGTGTGACTTCGTGGCGATACCCGCCAAGCATGAGGCGGTGATCTGTGATCGATTATATACACCACAATCATATATCTTTCTTTCTTTCTTTCTTTCTTTCTTCTATCCCCCATGCCGTGCACAAGCCCCACCCCCGCCCCCATCACCCCCTTCGAGCGCCCGTCTCGCCCCAGTACGTGCCCCTCCTCTCATCTCGCCCTCATATTCACCCCGCACAGTCACCTTCCACGCCCGCTACTGTCTTGCTCGCCGCAACACTGGCTCTCCTCCTATCCTTATTATAGCAGCTTCCTATCCCTCTTCCAGCGTGGAACCGGACTACACCTTTCTGTCCACCCGCATCGTACAGCTGCAAGAACACTTTCCGCATCTCTATGTTCGTATCACCGGGCTTCGTACTACTACCCCGCGGGAAGAACTTCGCGATGTACCTTGGACACCTGCTCAGGTGCTGAGAGAGGGCAAGTACGAGGACAAGGTGGACAGGTCGGAAGAACTCGAAAGGGTATTGTTCAAGGAGGGACAGCGGATGTGTGGGGAGGATGTCGACCACCGTCCGTTGTGGCAAATCTCAGTCTGGAGGAACCCCAACAAGGAACGCGTCTACATCACATTGGCGGCTGACCATGTCATTGTCGACGGCCGTGGTCTCTCCCTTCTCTTTGACGCCCTTCTCTTCAACGACATCTCCCACCTGCCCTACGAGAAGCTCCAGGACATTGAGCTGCTGGAAAACACCATCAACATCAAACCTTCCCTGTGGTACGCCCTTCCGAGGATCTGGCAGGGTCATATCATCGACAAGCTCCCCAAATTCATTCAATCTTTCCTCGTCCCTCGTCCTTCGTGGCCTGGCGCCAAAATTCACTCCAACCCTCTCGACGCGTCGCCCGATTGCTCCATGCTATCCATCTCTGCCGACAAGATCTCGGCCCTTAAGCGAGCAGCAGCAGAGAATCACGTCTACACTCTCCACCCTCTGCTCAAATCCATCTTCTCCCTCGCCATCTGGTCCAAGCACCACTCTTCAATCTCTCCTTTCCGCCTCCACGCCATCACTCCTCGCTCTGAACGCAATCCTACCTTAGGACATGCATACTGCATGGCCAACTATGTGAGCTTCTACAATCTCCAGGTCAAGTTTGGAGAAAACGGTAAAGAGGGAAAGTTCTATGAGGTGACGAGCAAGATGGCTGGAGAGTTGGTTGACGCAACCAAGTTGAAGGAGGCGCGAATGGGAATGGGTATCATGGCATACCTCCCAAACAAACAACTCATACCCGAGGCGTCTTCCCTTTCTCCCTCTTCACTCAACAAGCTACAAAAGACCGACCGTTCCTCAACCCACTCCACTCAAGCTTTTCTTTCCAGTGCCGACCCTCGAGCTGCTACCACCTGGGAGCACTTCTTCCTCCAGACAGCGGCCTCTGTCAACCCTTACACCGACGCTCTCTGCTTTTCCAATATTGGACGAACCAAGCTCCCGCCTGGAGCGGACGACCTTGCTTGGAGCCAGATTGCAGCAGGGGTCGCGGCGGCAGCGTATTCATGTACCGTTATGGGGCATGAAGCAGGTGTGAGAATTGGGACCATCTGGGTAGAAGGGGCGGCAGTGTTTAGAGAAGACGTCAAAGATGTAGAGAGGAGATTTATGGTCATCATGGAGAGGTTGATTCAAGGGGAGAAGGAGGTCAAGAAGCTTGTTGAGAACATGGAGTCCAGTCAGCAACAGGAGGACGATTAGCAGATGTCCGTTATCGAAAGTGTCAAAAGATAGTACTCGTATGGACCATGACGAGGTACTCTACAGTATTATTACCATGCAACTTCATGTATTCTGCTGGAGGTAGTCGATTCGCGTGTCTTGTGTGGCACTGTTCAACATTGATCACCATGGTGAGTGATTTAGTCTACCGAAATAACATGCTGATGCTACTCAAGCGGGTCGTATCACTCGTCAACTATAAAGCCTCGAAGGGTTCGTATATAATGTTCAAAGACATAAAAGAGTCATACAAAAGAGACTATCATTACACACAGGTTCACTCTTCATCTTCCTCCTCCTCCTCAATGATCCCAGGCGCTGTCGTCCCTCGCCCCGGCAAGTTTCTCCTGCTCCGCACATCCAAGCCCAAGCCTTGAAGTCCCTCATCCTTCTTCTTCCCGCTACTACCATTGCTGCCCCCTTCTCTCTCTTCGTCGGAACTTCCCCTTCTCCCACGCTCCCTTCGACGACCAGACATGGAGACCGGCGCCGCGATCTTGCTACTCGGAAAGCTGGCCGCCGCGCCAGTAGACTTGGAAGGCGTGGATGACTGAGAGGAGCGCGGGCCGCTCATCCACATGACATCCCCGCCCCCCTTCCTCGTTACCTGCCCCAGGCCACATGCAAACTCATTTTCATCCTCCGACACCCATTCACTGTCTTCGCCTTCTCTCCCTGGCCCCTTGCCCTTGCCTTTATTCTGGAAGACGTCGCGGATGGGCTTTTTGCGCATAATGGCTGCTTGCTGTTGCTGCAGCTGATCTGGGTTGAGGGCAAGGGGGGAGCGGGTGCGATGTATCTGTTGAGCCAAGGACCGCTGACTTCCGCTACGCCTTTTCTGCCTCCTGCCGGACCTGAAAGACGACGCGTCGTCTCTATCCCTCCCACTCTCATAATCAAAATCTACAGAGCTCGCACGCGAGCTGCCTGTGGAACGGATGCTCGAGGCAACAGAGCTACTGCGCATGATCTGTGACTCCGGAATAACCTTGATATGACGAACACGGCTCGAGTCGTTCCCGCCAGCCGGTCGTCGGCGGTAGCTTAGCAGTGGCGATTGGGGTGGGTTTTTGAACCTGGTGGACGTTTCAGAGGTCAGACTGGGTGACCGAATCGACATGGACGAACGCCTGCTGCCACCACGATGGAGCGAATGTGATGAGCCGGGCCGTGAGATAGGATGATCCACAAACTCTCTATCACTAGTCGGCGTTTGACTCCCGTGACTCCGTCCACTACGTTTTCTCCCCAGCTCTGCAATATGCGGGTGAGGGTGCTCCAACTGCATGCTCCCCATCGAGCTTCTCCGAGAATTCACGCTGCTTGACCTCCTAGAGTAGGCCGGCCTCCCGCCTACACCAACGCCATCTAGAGAGGTTCGGCGTGAGCTGGGGCCAGGACCAAAACGTTTGGCGGGGGTGCGCGAGTTGGGACCGCGTGAGAGGATGACGGCCGGAGGCACTTTGATTTCAGAGGATAGTGGAGAGCGAATGGTAGCTTCGCGCTTGCGACGACGGCGATCTTCGTGAAAGAGGTGTCGGAATGTATTCCAGATGCTGTCTCGTTTCCCGCCTTTGCCCTTGCCGAGAGAGTTGGAGCCTTCGCCCAACTCCATCATTTGTGTCGCCATAGAGGTCTCCTCTTCATGGAGATCCCGCGCTTCATATGCGGCTCTGGGTGTCGCATGAGGCGTGACTCGCTGAGGCGAGGATCCTGGAGTGATCGTCTTAGATCCAGACGGCGCCGGAGAAGCCTGCTGACTGGCACCGGCACTGAGCAACCCATCGCTCTCGCTTTTCGGCAGTTTCGCTAGTGGGTTTGGTTTTCGCAGCTTGGTTGGCGAACCACTCGTGCTTCCACTCCCGTTCAGTGCGTTGCCCTTCTCGTCCCTGGCCCCGAAAGAATCTGAATCGGCGGCATTCCTATCGGCCTTTTCTTTTTCTTCACCCTTTTTGTTGCTGGTAAAAGCCGAAGTAGCTCGTTGAAGCATATTCATCGACGGGCTCCTGGACTTGAGCCGTTCTCTGTCCTTCTGTGGAGAATCAGGAGAGGGATTTCGCCTTCCCACCGGTGAATCGGGAACGTCGGTCGTCGACGAGATGGGAGCATTGATGCTGATACCGAGAGGAGGTTTGCTGATCGTAGCCATCTCGATACCAGGTGAATCACCCGGCACAATGATCGGCTCCGGCGATTCAATCTTTGCCCTGCTTACCGGCGGTCCAAGGTCGATCGGGCCAAACGAAGGGGTCGCGGGTATGGACATTGGTTGATCAGTCAACCGGACCTCCTCTGCTTTCTCCGCATCACGTTCCTTTGATTTTCCCTCTCTTGCCCGTTTCTTTTCGGCAATCGCTACCGCCTTCTCCCTCTTTCTCGCTCTCTCCTTCTCACGCTCCAGGATGACCTGGTCCGTTTCGCCCCTCTCCGCCTGCTTGGCACGCAGTATCCACCATGTGCCAGCACTCGAATCGCAAGCCTCCGTTTCGACGCTATGCCTTAGCTGTCCAATATCTATCCCCATATCCCGCATCTGATTCAACAGTGCCTTTTCAGAAGGCGCCGAGAAGTGCGGGGGACGAGTCTCGTTCAGCTTGGCGAAATAGTCTTCGGGGGGATAGGTCACGTATTGGGTGGACGGAGAGACTGAATGATGAGAGAAACGGCGCTCCAAGGAAAGCGTGGAAGAGACGGAACGGCGTTTCGTTCGAGAGGGGGTGCGAGAATGAAGAGCGACGTTGAGATGAAGATGCTCGTCTATCAGCGGCAAGCTGGTGTGACCATCAAGTATTTCGGCCTGCTCGTCCTCTTCAACTTGGCCATCGAGAGAGGATTTATATGATGCTTTGCCCCGCGAGATTGAACCAGGCCTTGAGGGGGTGGTCGACACCTGTCTGATGGTGGACGTGTGGCTATTAGATCTATGCAATAGTTCCAACTCTTTCTCGGTCGTGCTAAACTCGGCGCTGTTGTGGCGGGGCAAGACAATGTCATCTTCTTCCGTAGTCGTTGGCGGAGTGGTGCTGATGAGGCTCCCAGAGAGACTGTCTCCGTTTGCGCTACTTCCAGAAGGCTCCGACTCTTCCTTCACAGGTGTTGTCGGGACATTGGTCGACAAAGGTGAAGGCTTGGCGTGAGACGCCGTCAAGTGACGGGCAGCATTCAGCTGAATGGCATTCTCCGCAAAAAACTCGTCGCTTTGGGAATGATTGCCTTGGGGGCTAGCTGGATTGGAAGACGGTGGGATGGAGTGAGAATCGCCGTTCGGGAAGGCTCTATCGACAAGTGTCTTTTCAAACCAGGGGTGGGTGAGAATCTCTTCAATGGTTAGGCGATTGGAGGGATCCTGCTGGAGCATCCCGCGTATCAACGCGCGAGCGTCTATACTGCTGTCAGGCTATGCCCAGCTGTGCAATAGTGGACATACCTTCACTGAGCCAATCTGGCTCCTCGTACTCGCCCTTTTGGATGAGTTCCTTCATGACCCTCTCATCGTCGTCGTCGAACGGCAACCCGCCGCAGAGCAAGATATAGAGTATGATGCCTAGCGACCAGATGTCTGTCTCCACGCCGAGATACTTGCGGCAGGCGAGCATTTCAGGACTAGCGTAGCCTGCAGATACTGTCAGCAATGCCGGGGGTCAAGGAGCTTGGATACACACCTGTTGTACCGCAGTATGTGTCCATACTGCATTCTATCAGTTCATATTTCAATGCACGACGAGATGACTCACAGTCTGCCTTTCTGCCATTCTCTGGCAAACCCAAGATCCCCTAGCTTGACCCTCAGCTCCCCGTCCAAAAGCACATTCTCCAGCTTCAGATCCCGATGGACAACTCCCTCCTTGTGCAACCAGCCAACTGCCACAGCCAGCTCTCCGAATAGTCTCCTCGCTTCTCCTTCCAGCATCCGCCCCCTCTCCACCAGATAGTCAAACAGCTCGCCTCCGCTGCACAACTCTGTTACGAGCCATATGTGGGATTCTGTCGCAATGATTTCGTGCAGATGGACGACGTTCTGATGGTGCAATCTCCGATGGTGATGAATTTCGCGAGTGAGGTGGGGGGTGAACGATTTGGGAATCTTTTTGATTGCCGTGCGATGGCCAGTCAGGCGATGGGTAGCTATGTGTACAGAGCCGTAGGAGCCTGCAGTGTGTGTCAGTGAGACACAGATGGTTCAGAGCTGGAAAGATGTACCCTCGCCAATGACCCGACCAAGCGTATACCCGCCCACTACCTTGAGATTCTCGCTGCCCAGCTCTCTCGCCAGCTCTTGGTATGCGCTAGTGAGCTGCGGGACAGCAGGTCAGCAACACGCCTGGCAGTTGCTCGCGGCGCGAACGAGACGTGGGTACATACCTGGGCCTGCTTGATGTTGGCCTGGCTCTGGCTGTAGGTATGGTTTTGGCCTCCTCCACGGCCCGGCGCGACCATCTTCTAGGTGTTGTGTGGAGTGAGCAGTTTGGCAGAGGATCTTGACGTGGTGGGTTTGGATGAAATGGGTGAGACAGATCACGGAATGTTTCGGCGGCGGTGTCGTCGGTGGCGCTGTGGGAGCTGGACAGCGATGCGTGGGCGAGTGGATGTGGGGGGATGGAAATGGGGAAGTGAAGGGTGATAGAGGATCACAAATGAGATGTAGTGCAGCGTAAGACATTCCCGTCCTCGCATGTGCCTGCCAGCGAATCCTCTTGCTTTCTTCTTTCTCCATGCATCCCATTATTGCCACAGACTGCAATATTCCCCGGAAGGAATGGCCTGCCTCCCAAATCTCTCACAGCATGCCAACTAGTAGCGCACAACCATCGCGACCCCGTGAATGCTGCTCTTACTCTCCCTGTGTAGTACTTTGGCTGACCGTGGCGACCTGCAGTTGCTGCTCATGAGAAGCATTTCTTGTCCCGTAGTCGAAAAGGACTACCTACCATCGTCGCGCTGGGTACTGCATACTGTTCCTCTACACAGGCACCGACGAGAGCATTCTTAGCTGGTCGTATTGGAGAGCTTCAAGCTCACTTCCCTACGCTGTATGCCCAGTTCGGCTATGGACGAGGGGACATGGTAGCGACCAGGGAGGAGGGACCTTGGTCAGCTACAATGATCATCCAAGACGATCAGTACTCGGCCGACAGCGATACTGAAGGAGATGTGTTTACAAAGCTCCTCTTGGACGAAGGCAACCGCATGAGCCGAAACGTTTCTTCTCGAGACGATGGTCCTCTCTGGCGAGTTGGCGTCCACACCCACCCTTTGCGCCCCCGGGTGTATATCACCCTTACTCTGGACCACGTTCTCGCCGATGGTCATGGGGTTCTCAATCTCCTCCAAGCCCTCCTTGCGCCCTCTATAGCAGATCTTCCTTATGAGCGTGTGGAGGACATTCCCAGCATTGAGGACACCGTCGACGTTGCCCCTCCAGCCGCAGCTGACCGTCAGGGTGAACCGCCGAGCCCATATATCTGGCCGAGTGTTCCACCCAAGATCATGTTATCGCAGGCTACTCCGTCAGCATCCATCTTTTCACTTTCCGTGGAAGACCTGTCGCTATTGAAGGCGGCCGCCAAAGCCCACGGTGTACCCACCCTACATCCTGTACTCAAGACAATCTATTCGTTCGCACTCTGGTCGGTCTATCGGCTGGACTCCCCTTCTCTCCGCCTCGCCTCATCGACCCCTCGGTCTGAGCGAAACCTCGCTCTGGGCCACGCATATTGTACGGGCAACTATGTCTGCGCGCACAAGTTTGACATTAGCATCTATGAAGGCCAAAACTTCTGGTATGTCGCCAGGCGAGTACTGGAGCAGATTGCCGATCCGGTCGACTTGGCTCGCGCTCGGGCTGCCAGCGGTCCTCAGCCACCACCCCAGCCCAAGCCTTTGGGTATACCTGCGCCTTTCACGCAATCATTCTCCTTTTCCAACCTCGGCCTTTCCAGTCTCCCTTCAGGTGCCGACGACATGTCTTGGCTGGTGGTTCCCACAGAGAACGGTAAAGGTCCGCTGTCAGTCATGGTCATTGGGTTTGAACGGGGTTTGCGAGTGTGTACGACGTGGAGGGACGGAGGGGCGGTAGAGATCAAAGAGGTGAAGGAGGTGGAGAGGATATTCATGAGGGTGGTGAGGCGGCTGATAGAAGGAAAGGACCTAGCAGACGAGCTGATTGAATGATATGCATTGGCTTGCGGCCGCGAGGCGTCAGAGGCATATGAATAATCGCCATGATTGTGGCTTGCGTACAAGGTACAACAGATAGAGAGCCAATATTCGTAAAGGTCGTGGGGGTCATAAAGTCATTTAAATCCAGCCTGTCGTTGCCTCTTATTACTCTTCTGCTTTGGCCGAGACTTTGGTTTTGATATAGGAGCGTCTGGTTTCCCAAGTTCCATGATGGACTGAAGGGGCGGCATGACCTCTGTGAACTGTGGTCAGCATGGTTAGGAAGAGGGCCACGGCACCTACTCTTGTCGTGCACGAGATAGTTTACAATCTCATTTGCCCCCTTCTTGATTGCAGTCTCTACCATCCTCGTCCCCACTGTCACTCTATCTCCTAGCTTTACCCTCTTTGCGGGGCTATCCGTTTTTGTTTCTTCTCCTGGCTGCCTCTCGATCAACATTTTGACCATCTGCAGGTCTTTCATAGAGATGGCGATTTCCACCGCCATAAAGTCTTTCAGCGAGGGGTCTGCCCCATGTACCAGGAGAAACGATATCAGTGGCAAATTGTGCTGGAGAACAGCGCGACAAAGCGGGTAGCCCTTGTGCGAATTCGGGGACGGAGAATAGGTTTCAAAGAGATACGTTATCATGGGATGGATCGGCGGCTCGGGTTTTGACACTCGGAACAGTCGTCTCGGTAGCTCTCGAACGGCAAGCGGCCGTATCGCTGGCTCCGGAGATGCAGAGCCCCATTTCGATCTTGCCCTCTTGCCCAGCATAGGGTCGAGTGACGTTACGGTGCTCTTTCCGTTACCCATCCTCCGCCGCTTTTCCCACTGCTCGTTCAGGGCCAGAGCGACATCGATATCACACACTGGGTGGCGCAGAGCACGGACCAAAATTTCGCTTGGGCCGTACGGGCTGTAGAGGGAGAGGAGGTAGGCGGCAGTGTAATGGGGGGAGGTGCCGTGGAGGGAAGCGTAGATGTATCGGCAGGTGTGGGGCAAAAATGGGTTGTGGGCGAGGACATGGATATGCTGTATGAGCTGCTGCTGTCAGCGCCGGATGCATGGGCACTCAAGGACATACCTCTACTGGGAGGTGGGCGAGGTCCATGGCTGCCGCCTGGAAATAAAAAATGGAAAATGTCAGAGATGATGGCCGGTGGGCAACTTTTGGGCGGGAGCAATTCGCGGGAGCATTCGCAGGTGAGATTTATTCTCTCTTGCATTTCAATTCGCCTACAACAGCTATACAAATCTATACACCATGCGGCCCCTCTCAGCTGCAGCACTCCGCCCCCTCGCACGTCGCACCACTCGCCTCACCCCATGCCCCCTTCCCAACCACGTACGCCCCTTCTTCGGCCTCTTCAAAAAATCCACCCCCGCCCCCGCTGCCCCTCAAGCCCCCCTCCTCGCTGAGGACGACCTCTTCCACCCCCTCTCCCACTCCCCCTTCCCGGCCCTCGTCGAAAAGGCCGACCGGATAAAGTCAGTCTCCCTCTGCCCTACCTCTTTTGAAAAGCACCACGAGCGAGTCAGGCCTGCGTTCGACTGTCCGGACTGTGGGTGGCCGACGCATAAAGACCAAGAGAGGTGGGAAGAAGGACGGGAAGAGCACAAAGAGTACTGCGGGAGGCTGAGGGAGGTCAACGAAGACGAGCATGATTTGAGGAGTGGGCGAAAGATGGTCGAGTTTGAGAATATGCCAGGTCAGTGAGAGAGCCTACGCGATCTGGACAGCGCTCATGTATGTCAACAGAGCAACAGCCATACGAGTCTGCGGTCAACTTTGCTTCATGGGACACCTTGTTCTTCACAAGAAACTTCCCTTCGATCGACTCGGATCGATCTGTGCGACATGTGTCCAAGATTCTGACATATCCCATGACCATCGCGGGCATCTTGCATCAGAACGGGCCCTTCACGTCTGGTAATGGGCGTATCACTCGACAGGGAAGGCGAAGCATGGCTGGTGAGTGTGATCCTGATGTCTGACAATCGAGCTAAGTTGTCTAGCGCTCCACTCTGTGTTGCACCTCCCCCCCGGCGCCACCGTCGAGACTGCCCCCGAAAAACCTCAACCACCCTTCCGTCTCTTCCTCCTCGGTGCACGTGCCGAGTCAACCCTGCCTCCTCACCTGTGGGCCCAGCTCACGCACCTCTTCCCCCGTACTGTCTTCCAAATCTACTTTATCGGCCCTGAAGTCGGTATGCCCCTTCTGTCCGCCCAAGACAGGGTCAAGCAGGAGTATGCCTTCACGGAGGAAGGCGGATGGGGTGTCCCCAGCTATACCTTCAACTACAACACCCAGCTCTCTTTGACCTCGCTTAGGGCGCCTTATGAGGAGATTCATGAGCAGTTGGGGCCATTTGACCCTTACACGGATGTCTTTTTCGCATTCTCGCCCGGATTTGGTTTCCCCCACCAGCCCCTGCTAGAAAAGATTACAAAGAGCGGAAAGGGCCAGGTGCTCCTTGACCAGGAAACTGGCAAGCCTATCGCTCCCGAAGACCGCTACTCGCCCGCCGAGATTGAGAGCGAGGTTCCCTATGCCCCTCCCGAGACTCTCGTTCAAGCCCAGACCTCCTGGCGCCAGCCCCTCCAACAGATCCTCGAGACCAAGTGTCCCTTCTTCTTCACCGCCTTCTCTCCTCTGGATCTCCAACGAGACGTGTCTGCCTTGTTTGGGACCAACCCTCCTTCTGCCTCTGGTGCTCCCGGCTCGCCGGTGCGCGAGTTCCCCGACTATGTCGCTCTTCCCACAGGGCCGATTGAGCCGATTGAGGGTGTGACGGACGAGTTTGAGCTGGTATTGACGCCGGGAGTGAATCCGTTCGGTAGTTTGAAGTGGGAGATTGCAGAGTGGGATGTGAGGGTGGGTGTCAAGACGAATTGGGGAACGTGGGGTATCAGGGGCAAGAAGTATGATGTTGTGGAGGGACGATGATTTTTTGTGCAATGCATGTAAACCACTCTAGTCGTATAGTCATGGGCAGTCCAAAACATCAGGCAGCGTAATCGAAGGCGGCGGCGGCCGGTGGGCTACTCGTGACTCTTGACGCGATCGTATCTCCATCTGTTGCATCTCTATACATCCCTCTTTATCCCGTCGATACGCCCCTATATATCCAAGATGGTGCTCAAGATGGGGGTCTCCACCCTCGTGGCGGGCATGTTTCTCACCGGCTGTGCAAACAGTCTTCTGTACGTCACAGCCGTCCTCAAGCTCCTCCGTTGTCCTGACAGCCGCCATGTAGCTCCAAGTACCAAGACATGGAATGCGTAGAGCAATGCGATACAAGCACTCCCATCGCATTCGAACAGCCTGTAAGTGCAACTGCGTGACACCGCGCGATATTCTGACGACGTATATCAGGTGTGGCAAACATTGAAGTATGTCCAATGGGCGAACGGACGACCTGATCAGCACAGTAGCTGACTCTGCATTCGCCAGTATGTTCATCGGCGAATTTGGATGCTGCCTTCCCCTTCTATGGAGCTACTATCATGGTCGCGAAATGAAGACCTCCAGCGGCCCTCAGGCGTCTGTGTTTAGTCGCATTGTCGCTCGTCTTCCGCTTGGCTCAGGCCCCACTACTCAACCTGAAGAATACTCTCGCGTTGACGACCACCTTGAAGAAGATTCGGAGGCCGAGGATGAGGACGCGGGTCACGTTCTGCAAGGCTGGAGGATGTGCTGGATGTGGTTTCCCGCTTTCTTTGACAGTAAGTCACTTTCCTCAGACCCCGCCTCTATATACTCATCCTCTACTTGCAGTATGTGGGACCACGCTCATGAATGTTGGGCTCATTCTCACCCCGGTCTCTATATTCCAGATGTCTCGAGGTGCTCTTGTACTCTGGGTGGGGGTGATGTCTGTCATCTTTCTCCGTCGACACCTTTATCTGTACCAATGGTCCGCCCTGATCATCGTTACTTTGGGTGTCTGTCTTGTCGGCCTCTCAGGAAGCTTGGTCAAGAAAGCCGTCAGTGACCCTGTCAATTTTGTGCACACACTTTCCACTGCGCCCGCAAATGACCCTGCTCGGGTCGCAGTCGGCGTCATACTCATTCTCTTTGCCCAGATCTTCACGGCGTGTCAATATGTGAGTGCCGAGTGGATCTATTCCCTTTGTTCGTGCTGATTGTTGTGTAGGTGGTAGAGGAGAAGATTATGTCTCGCTATCAAGTAGACCCGATGGTGAGTAGTTGATCCCAATCTCTGCACCAGAGGTCTTACTTTTGTATAGAAAGCGGTCACGCTTGAGGGCTTCTTCGGTCTTACGACTACTCTTCTTGCTATGCCGTTCCTCCATCTCTTCTTCCACGACAAATCCCCCTACTTTGACATCCCTCGAGGCTGGCAGCAAATCATCTCCACCCCCACTGTGCTCTACTCTTGCTTTGCCATCATGCTCTCCATCGGCTCCTTCAACTTTTTTGGTTTGAGCGTCACTAGCAGCGTCAGCGCCACCACAAGAAGCACTGTGGACACCTGCCGTACCTTGGGGATTTGGGTAGTCAGCTTGGCTTTAGGCTGGGAGGCTTTGGTGTGGCCGTTCTCCTTGCTTCAAGTGACAGGTTTTGCCATGCTAGTGTAAGTGTCGTTGTATACGGAAAGGAATTTGCCAAAGCTGATACCTGGAAGCTATGGAACGTTTGTCTTCAACGGCCTGATCAGACCTATCATTTTCCCTCCACCACCTAGCATTCATCTTCCTCACGAGCCAGAGCTCGAAGAGACCGGCGAAGTGCCTGCCGCTGGCGCTCAAGGCAGAGCTGGCTACGACGTTGTGCCGGAGAATGAACACCGAGCTTAGACGGTGACCACTTGGCAGCATATGGACCAGGTCCGTCTTTTGTATATTATATGCATGACACAAAGTATTCATGAAATCAATGACACGGATCAATGACACGGAGGAATAAATTCCTGCATTTACAATATGACCAACGTCGTATCTTTCATGAAAAGGTCTGGATAAGCATAGGGACCATTGCGTCCCAGCTCATAAGTCTGAGATTTTCTCTCCCCCCACGCAAACGGAATCCGAAACGCACGCCGAGCGCCGTTCAATGACGCTTCGACACGTACCCATCATCTGAGCGTCGTGATCTTGCTCTGCAGCAAGGCTCTATACACCGATTGCCCCATTTGGTCTCGATAGCAAGAGATATTACTTGGGGAGAGGATACTACAGTTGGTCAGTGATCTTGCACCTAGACACATCGGATGGATGTCACCTGTTGAAGAGTCGCAGAGCTGTTGCTGAAAAGCCTGTCCGCTTCTGTCACCTCGAGCTTCTTCTTGTGCGTGTGAGCCGTGTTGGGCTTGAGATAGTTGTCAAAGCCCTGCGCAGACCCGATGAGTTTTTAGCCAGACGATGCCAAGTCACGTACTTTGATGATGTTGCCACCGGAAGCGGCGCTCTCGTCGAGATAGCTACCCTCAAACAGATACAAGTTCTCCTCTAGAGCAGTCTATAGAGGTGTCAGCCATCAGTCAACAAGAGATGCCGGGTGGACTTGCGAGGTTGGAGTCGATTGTACGCTTCTTGAAACGAGCGGCTTCGATGTCCTGGAGGGCCGCTTGTTGCGCCTTCTTTGCGTCGGCTGGGGGTCCGGAGCTGCTCATGTTGGGTATGACAGTCGATTCTGTTGCCGCTGGCCTCGTTTGTACAAGTCTTGGCAGAATTCGAGGTTAACCTGTGTAAGGGCCTGATTAATGGTGGTCTGATGGTGGTTGTTTTGACAGCTAATGGTGCTTTACGTAATATATTTCGCCCATCTAGAAAACCATCATTACAAAGTAGTACCCTATGTACCAACTGTGGTTACAGCTGAGCTAGCAGTTGACAAATACATTAATGGGAAATCCAAATAGAAACAGAGACGATATCCAACGACACGGAAAACAAGACGGTGACCATTGTGCCTAGGCCGCCTGACAGGGTTGCGTATGTTTATGGATATAGCGTCGACATCTCAGGCAGTCTTGGAGGTTCGTTGTGGTCAGTGTGCAACAACACGCTCACAGCATCATCAGTACAATTGGTCATATCACCACACACCCACATCCCGTCTTCTTCCATGACCCAACCTCTCGCCGACTTGCACATGTATACGCGACCGCTTGTCCTCGATTCCGCTTCTTGTTGTCCAAAAATTAGCTGCACATAATCCTGTTCCCCGCTCCACCCTTCTTTTCCGTTCACAACGCCTGTTTTCTCTCCTGGTTCGAGATATGCCATCCATCCATCGTACACGACAACCCTACATCTATGCTATTTAAGCCTCGATAGCGGGGACAGTCTTGCTCTTCTTGGAGGAGACGGTGTCGAGGTCCTTGGCACGGGGGACCTCAGAGGAGGGGGTAGAGAGGATGATCTCGACGTGGCAAGGGTGACCCTGGTAGGGGTTGCTGCAAAAAAAATCAGTCCGCCATTCCCGTTCCTAAAACTCTGCTACGCACATTCGACCGTGGGCACGGTAAGTCCTCCTCCTGGTCTTGGGGGCCTGCTGAACGACAATGTTCTTGATGAGGACCTCCTCGACGTCGAGGTCTTTGGCGTCGGCGTTGGACTCGGCGTTCTTGAGGAGACGGAGGATGAACTTGACAGACTTCTCGGGCCATCGACCTGCGCGCACCCATGAGCACTCTCCCCGCGATGCCTAATCATCCACACTCACCCTTGGTAGTCTTGAACTGCTTAGCCTGAGAGGCACGGCCGATACCACCAGCGAATCGTCGGAAAGGAATGACCTGCTTGTGCTCCTGGACATCGGCGAGGTAGGTGTAGGCCTTCTTCAAGTTCATGCCTGCGCGATCTCAGCTGTGCCCTTGCCGGCCCAAAATCTTCGACTCACCAGAGAGGGCGGCAGCGACCTCACGCATGTTCTTGAAGTGAGTGGGGAGATACTCGCCTCGGGCCTGGGCGACTATAGCAAACACATCAGCGCCTGTTCCCCATGCTCCCTCCTCGCCGACTGGACGCACACTTCTCAGGGTTGCCGGCAGAGATGTGGGCGGAGGCGTATCGGACCATTTTTGCTGTTGAGGGTTGAGACAAGGACAGACGGCGATTCACACCCACTCCAGCTGCAGGTGGAGGCGAATTTTCGTTTGGAAAGCGAAACGCCGATTTTACAAAGTGGCACTTTTTCTACTTTATTTCGCCCCCACTTTAGCCGAGTCCTTTTCATGCAACAATCATAGATGACTTTTCAATCCAGCCCGGATGACCATTTTCAATGCATACGGACGTGATTCTTTCCCTCCTCTGTGCGAAGTGAACCTACACCATCTTTCGATACAAAGATGACTTCGGAAACCAGCAATCAGATAATCCAATAGTCCGCGCGGCTCAAACGCGATGAATGCTAGGCTAGTTCTCAGTCATCCTGCCCTGCACTCTGTCAGTCACTTTCACCCTGCTAGCCAACAACACTTCAGCCTCACACAAGCTCAGAGTCATTCAATTTCATACACATATATACAGGTCTATCATGGCACACTTTACAACCTAGCCCTTGACCGCAGCAAAGGCAGCCTCCAAGTCCTCCACCAAGTCATCATAGTCTTCAATGCCTACAGAGAAGCGCACGAGGCTAGGCGTGATACCCAGCTTGTCGAGGGTCGCTTGGGGAAGTGACTGCAACATCGTCAGCTCGCTCGTCCAGCACTGTATCAAATCACTGACAGCATGAGTCATCCCCGAGGGCACTTCAATAAGACTCTCCACACCTCCCAAGCTTTCAGCTAGCGTCACAATCTTGAGAGAGGTGCAAAACGTCTCGGCGGTTTCAAGACTGCCGTTCTTGAGAGTAAACGTTACGACACCGCCGAATGGGATGCCCAGCGTCCTTACGTATGCAAGAGATTCTGGATTCAGTCCCTCGATCTCCTTCTCGGAGGGGTCCGACCAAGGGAGAGACCACCCGAGGAACTCGAGCTGCCTCTTGAGGTTGGCAGACAAAAGCTTCTGAATGTCGGCAAACCCAATGTCCTCCTTGAAACCCGGATACTTGACATTCTCCACCTGGGGGTGTTTAGACAGGTACGATGCGATGCGCAAGACATTCAGTCCATGCTTGATCATCCTTGCGTCCAGCGTCTTCAAGCTCCGGATCAACAAGTGGCAGTCATGCGGCGAGGGACAAGCACCGAACGAGTTTTGGATGAAACGTAACGACTTGATGAGCTCGGGTCGGATCTTGGCTGTCTGAGGAGAGACAGTGACAGAGCCGAGGATGATGTCAGAGTGTCCAGAGGCATACTTGGACAAGGAAGAGTAGGCGATATCCGCCAACGGCTCTTCGTCAGGCGAGTCTGCGACGAGGGGCGTAAAATTGAACGCGGAGAGAAAAGTAGTGTCGACAATGATGAGTGGTCGAGTCTCGACGGGCAGACTCTTGACAATGCGCGAGACGAGAGGAAGCGGGTGGATGAGCAGGGTAGGATTGGTTGGGACTTCGAGCCACACGAGCTAGCATCGAGTCAGTCGTGATCATTACTCAAGATAGTGGTCGCACCCTGGTGTCGGGCCTGATGGCAGCTCGGATGCCCGCCTCTCCAGCTTCAATCATGTCGAGATATGTTACTTCCAGCTTCGTCGGCCCAGCGGCCCTGGAAAAGAACCTTGCAGTTCCACCATACTACCGATACCCGCATTAGCATACGATACCGTGCGTCAGAAACTCTACTTGCCACATCGTTCACGGCCAACACATGACCGCCGCCGCCGTTCCCATCGGACCCTCCTGCACCTCCCTCTGCCTTGCTCAGCGAAGCCCATATGCCTATAGCAGCAGTGGCAGCTGATCCCGAGGAAAAGACAAAAGAGTCGCCCCCCGAGGCATCTTGACGGGCGTCGGGACTGGTCTTGGAGGCTGGGGCAGTCTCGAGGGACGTCAAGAGCTCTTCGAGGGCAGCGCGGGTGGGGTTTCCGCTACGAGAATAGTCGAATCCCTGTCCCTGTACTGGCTGTCAGATAAGCATAGTGTGCTACCCGGCAGGACTCACTCGCAGTTTGTTGATGCCGTCCTGCTTGAAGGTGGTGGCCACGCTGAGAGTGGGAACGACTGCCCCGGTAGCGGGGTCGGGGTCGCTCCCGACATGTATGGCGCGGGTGGCAAAGTGGTGGGGCATGCTGGGGATGGGAAAGATGAAGAAAGAAAGAGGAAAGAGACGATGTTATATAGCGCAGACGGGGAGCAGCACGCCATCTCCGGTGGTCGCCAAAGTGGAGGCAGCTCGCGCTTCCGAGGGTTGCAGCATAGTTTTCTTCTGCATCCAGATCCGTCCGTCCCGAGCGCATTTTGCATGCATCCACTCAGCATTATAGACATCGCCCAGACATCACCTGCGTAAAAAGTCCCTGCAGAAACAACAACCTAGCAAGACCCCCATTCGAAAATACACGCCATCGCCCCAAAGTAGATCAACCCTGGATCACTCCGTACCTCACACATAGCTTTCTCCGCGGTCCTCGTGCACTTCTTGCTCGACATGAATACGGAGCTCCGCAGGGACGTAGTTCTCCTTGGTCTGGACTGCGATGGGAGATGTAAAGTTTTCCAACTGATGCCCTTGTCAGTTCGAATCCCTCACCTGGCAGCGACTGTACTTACAACGTTCGGAATCTCTGCTCCAGAATCCCTCTTCAGCTCCCAGTCGCTCTCCTTGGCCGTCAAGGGGTCTTGCGAGCCGTAGAGCTTGAGATTGTCCAGATTGTATGGACTTGTCGGAGCCAGTGTCGTGTTCTTCATGGCCTCATCATCCCACTGCCCACCTTCCCTTAAAAGCGACATGAGGGCAACCCCACTGGCAAGCTGGTGGTGACCTGGCTGATGAACGGCGCGGCCTACCATGACATTGTTGTGTTGCGCTCCGGGGGGTGCCCATGAGCGGGGAAGGTACAGCACGATCGAAATGATGAGGATGAAGAAGAAGGATCCAAAGACTAGTTGAGAGACAATGTCACTTGCGATGCTACGATGGCGTCAGAGCTGTTGGGTCGTTGCTTTTGCGCAACTCACGGGGTGTTGGAAATCAGCTGCTTCTCTGTCAGGCCATCGACACCCAATACAATCATGCCGGTCGAGTAGATGAAGCGGAAGAATGTTCGGACCTTGTTTGCTTCTACAGGATATGGTATCAGCATGGTTTCTTTCACTGTGGCGCCCAGCTTACCGTGATAAAAGTGAAGCCGAGACCTGACTTCTGGACCCGCCCCTGAAGCTTTCTAGAGTGTTGTCAGACGTCTTGCCACTTCGAGATTTGGTTTGTCAGTACTTACCACGGTATCGAGGAAAGCAGGAAACTTCCAGATTACAATTGAAGCCGCAGACATCACTCTACAGCTCTCGTTAGCCTAATTTGATTGCAGACTCGATCCTACTCACATGAGCTCCACAGCTCCATCAACGGTCATGACTACAGACATCTGGTGCACCAGGTCGAGTTCACTACCCTTGTGAATCCATCCGGTTCCGCACTGCAAAATGGCCGAGACCACACTAATGACGATCCAGGCGTAAAAGTAGGGCGAGGTAAGCCACGAGCGAGCCGACTTGGGTTGACGAACGGCGCGCATCAGATGATACCAATAAAGGCCCTCCTCGGCGTTGAGTGATGTTTGAAGGGAGAAGGCGACTAGTGGATAAAGGCGTCAGTAAAAGCTGGCTGTCCTCAAACGAGCACGACTGACTGTTGAAGACGATCATGAGGGGAGTGTTGAGCAAACGGTACTGCTCAGTGTAGAGAGAGGGAGGATATGGTATAGCGCCGTACTCTTCTGTATAGACCCATTTCAACTTGTACTTGACCCCTGATTCACTTCATCAGTCTGGTATTTATGCTCTGAGACTACCACTCACAGCAGTAGCCCGCCGCCCACGCAAACAGACACATATTGGAGCACAAAAGCATCCACTACTCTCACAGTCAGATTCATTCCATCGCTGAGATAGTCAAAGGCAAGTGCCTTTGTAGACTCACTGTCAAGAGGGCGCGAAACCAGTCATGAGCTTTGGGAATGAGACACTTGCACTTGTCGAACTTGTAAGTATGATGGAATGACATGCCTAGCGCCTGAAGTGTACTGGTCAGCGCTGAGCATGCTGGAGGCAAAAGTACGTACTGTTCCACTGAGGATAGCGATGAGGTTCATGTTGGTGTCGGACGCGGTGGCCATCTTGCCGAGCTCTCGTGGTGTCTTGTGAAAGAGTGTGACAGATAGAGGTACGAATTGAAACCGAAAGCTTCTGTAAACGTGAAAGAGGGGGGCATATGATGAAGAGATGCTCCTCGGTGGGCATTATATCTAGCTGAAGCGGATCCCAAGCCATCCCTTTGCAATCATCAGAAGCGGATTGAGGACAATCCTTTCACCGCCACCTGCATCCCCGGCACACCCCCTCTCCCCTGAAGCATGTTGATAACCACCACCGTACCCACCTGTAGGCCTGTCACCTATACACAAGCATGTATCCGCTGGGAGCTGCGTTGCTTTACGCTTCCCACTTCGGTCCGCCCCTGGAAATACACGGCCGCGTCTGTGTGAACCAGACAACGACAGGATTTTGCTGTATGTAAGCCCTGTGTGGGTTCGTTTCAGATTGCATCCGTCGGAATCTTCCATGCTTCCACTTCGATCGCCCACCATATGATCCATATCCCTTATTAGGGACGGCATGCTGATGCGCCCATGTCTCTTGACTTGTTCTCACACCGAACTGATTGAAGCAAAATGCATTACACGCAAGAACCAAGTGCCGGTATCCCCAGCCCTTGAAGCAACTATCTTTTTACAACTGGTGTCTCAATGTGATTATTCCTAGCCTAGCGTCGAATCCGTATCAAATCTTACATGTCACCCTAATTGTTGCTGCCCCTTCTTCTCTTTCGCAATAGCGACCTCGTCTGTCGTCCCTTCCTCCTCTGCCACGTCGACCACATCATCCTCCTGTTTACTGCTGGCGGCCTTTTCAATACTGGCACTCGCCAAGCTGACTCGGGGCGAGTGACGCAAGTTGGCGGGGTTGGTCCTACGCAAGGGACGGAGGAGACGACGACGGGCTACCATGACGGGAACAGATGATTTCTGCACGAGATAGTGGGAGGTCGAACCAAGGAGGATACTGCAAAAGGTCAGTAGGAATATCTAGACTGGAACAGTTGCTCACCCCTGGAGCTTGCCCAGACCGCGAGAGCCGACAATGACCATGGTGGGTTCCAAAAAGTCGATCAGATCTGCAGCCGGATCAGCCGCCGAGTCGCGGAGCGTACACGCATCAGCAAGTACTCACCGAGAAGCATATGTCGAGAGTTCTTTGCATGCAGGAACTGACACGTGACGGTTATTTGCAGCCTGGTCCTTTGCAAAAGACTGTTCACTTGCTTGACCAGTAAGAGAGCTGTCGTTTGACGCTAGGCAGGTTGTCAGCATGATGCGCACACGCCTATGCCCAACCCACCTCTTTCTGAATCCTCATCTTCTGCGCTCTGTCGTTGTTGCTCCAATTCTTTGGGTCAACTGTTCTATATCAGCATACGTCCCAGTGGTAGGAGATCGACCCACTTTTGCTCTCATCTTCCTTGACTGAAATGACAAAGATCTCGTCACCGTCTCGCGCCACGGTCCCGATTGCCCATTCCACAGCATAGCGACTTTCCTCACTCAAATCACTTAGCACCACATACCTCCTCATCCTCTTCCCACTCTCCTCCAGCGCTCCATCTGGGTCTCCTTGCGTCAACGTAATAGTGCACCTGTCCCTGGCAAACACCGGGCGGGACGTCTCCATCTGGAGTCCGCCTTTGGAAGTCTTCTTCTGACGCGAAGAGGAGTTGGTCCAGAAGAGCGATTGGGGAGGGACGACAACGTTGGGGCCTTCACCAAGGGGATCTTGCTCGACCTCTTCACCATAGTAATCGAGCACCTGGCTTGCCGAGTCGTCTTGAGGCTTGTCGTCGATCTCGTCGGTAGCACTCCGTCCGCCAAGACCTCCAGCATCGCCTTCGTAGAAGACCGCATTTGCCTCGGTATTCTTCTCAGTCTCTTCGTCAAAGATGACTTCCCCATCTTCGTCCAGGATTCCCTCTTCGTCAAAGTCGGACGTCCCGGAAAACTCGTCCTCAGAGTCCAATTCGGTCTCTGCCTCGGTGACTCCATCATCTGATCCATTGGAATCCACGTCTCCATCCTCATATGCGGATACCTGGGGCCTAAACTTTTTTGTCACAGCCACACTTTCCGGCTCGCTCTCTGCGTAATTTGTATCTTTCTTCAGCGCTCCCACCTCAGGACTCGTGTCCCTCGCCCTTGCCTGGTCGCGTGCCCTTCTGGCGCGGAAGAAGGGGGAAGGAGCTCGGTTTTTGGAGGAGCGGTCGCCGCTTCCGACAGGTTTAGACGCTTGGAGATAAGAAGCCCTCGGGGTGAGGGTTGAGGCGGGAGTGGCTACAGGAGTTGAGTCGACAGCCTTCTCGGGAGATTTGGGCGTGGCCATGTTGGCTGTTCCAAGCGCCGCCGCTCGAAGACCAAGAGCGGCAAGAGCCCCGCCGGTACTGCTCGTCGACTTGCGCAAGTCTGTTGAAGACGCATTCGGCGAGCTGGTTGTGCTCCCTGGTCGGCCCCTGTTGATAGCACCCATAAGCAGATGTGATGCCTGTGAGTCGAAATGAGTCGGAGTGAGTGGGGGTGGCGGAATAGAGGTCGGGGGATAGGTGTTGGGAGGGAAAGGGGGAGGAACAGTATCTGTCAGCTCTTCTTTCTTCTCGGGTATATGCACTATGACACTCTTCGCCTTTCTCGAGCGACCCCTCCTCTCGGTCCCGTCCGTCCTGTCGGTCCCAGCGGTACAGGTCGTACCATTACTCTGGGCACTGGACGTCCGTTCAAGCTGCAGCCCCTTGCCTTCCTGTACAGTCACATCCACCGCCGCCGACCTGCGCCTGAGTGAACCCTTGCCCCAGCTCTTCAGCGAGCCCAAGAGGGGGCTGGCCTTTTTGCTCGGCGGAGAGGCTAGCTGTTTGGCGGACCCGGGGTCTTGGGCCGAGGCGGGCTCGGGGGTGTGGGAGTGGTGCGAGGCTCGGCGCATGGAAGATAGGGCGGGCCGACGGTCAACAAGAGGGGCCGAGTGGAGAGGGGCATCGGGGAAGGAGGAGGGAGGGGCCTTGGGAGAGTGGATAGAGGGCTGGTCTTTGTCATTGCTTACCTGGGAAAGAGGTCAGCTTTGGTTTGGTCGTCAGAGGGTGCCAAGACGTACCTCGTCTTTAGCCGCTTGACCGCTGAGGGCTTTAAGACGAGAGACATAGTTGCCGGTGGGGAGGGAGAAGGAGCGGTGGAGGGGGGCCATGTTGGGTGACGGGGATGGGGATGGGGATGAGGATGAGAGGAGAAAGGAGGAGGTCAGCACAGATGCTGCAACACCGCCGACGTCTCGCCCTCGCCCCTCCTGGTAGCTTTCGCCAAAGGACGGGCGCGAACGTGGCCTCGTACAACACTCACCGTATTTCCTTGCCTTGCCCAGGTCGTTGTTCGATTTCTGCCCGCGTCAGCACACACACCCGGATGGCCCACCCACAGATACTCACAGATAGAGCAAAGAGGGCAGTCTTCTCGGTGATGCCGAGCGACTTGAGCTGGTCCACGAGGTCGGATCGGGGGCGGGACATTGTTGCTACTGATTAATACTGGGACAGGCCAGCGTGCTACGGTGCTACGTGCGGTGGATGGACGGACAAGAACGGTGCAAGAGACGGTGGCTGACAGGACGGACTACGTACTACTCGCTTTCGGTGGCCCAGCGTTTATTTCCGTGCCGCTTCTCGTCAGTCCGGAAGCCTGTATCACCCAGCCTTGCTTCGTCTTCGTCTCTTTGCCCGGTGGATATCGGGGCACAAGCATGGTGGCCCTCAGATCACAACTGGGAAGCATAGAGTACCGAGGGCCGAGGCTGACTGGGCAGCTTATAGCCAGTAGATCAAAGCGGCCCGCTCCGTCTAGCGCTAACGCCCCATATGCGACAGCTTCAAGCACATCGTGCCAGAAGATTCATACGTGTATTATATCTCCAACATAGATGTCTGAAATGCTATCCTACGATAGCGCCCAAATGCTAAAAAAAGTAGTGAAATGAGCGAGCAATGGTGGCGTGTATGTACTGTGTCGAAAAGAAAATGAAAAGAGACTCGAGCGCGGACCCAGAACTACTGCGTTCTAGTGGCCCTAACGGTTCGATGAAGAAGCGTTGCTGCCGTTGGAAGGCAAGCGAGGTGCGATCTCGGGCTTGTCCCACTCGGCCATCAGCTGTAGGCCGACAGCTACATCATCATGTCAGCTTCCAGCGCACCATGCATGCGACCATACTCACAGGGTTCAATCTCGGTCCCGTCTCTAGAGACCTTGACCTCTCGATCCGCGTTCCAAGGATTCCGGAGGTGACGGGTCTTGTTGAAGGGCAGAGGAGCCACCTTGACCCACTCTATACGGAACGCATGTCCCCATCCGTCGTCTGAAAACCCTTCTTCGGCGTTCTGATTCTCACGTTTCGCATTCTCTTGGGGTGGAGGCAACGTCTCCTTTCTCTGCAAATCTTCCACAGCCTGCGGCTCAGAGACGACCGTCAAAGCCGACTGATTGGAAACATCGCCACCTTCTTGGGCCATTGCAAGAGTGACCGAGGGAAAGTAGTCCCGTTGCAGAGTCTTGGGATCAAATGTGTGGGCCCGTGTCTCGTCAAGGACCTGCAGAGACATTGAATTACTACCAGCAGCATGATTGGGAATCTTTGGCGGGTCGGTATTGCGGTGGATAGGGTGAAAGTACGAGTCTTCTCGAGAGTGGAGTTCACCGGGAGAAAGGACAGTGATCCGGCTCTGCTGAGGAGCAAGGAAAAAGCTAGACTCTTGGGTGCCAGATCGCATGGGCGCTGAGCTACTGATTGAAGACTGTTGTCGTTTCGCTCGCTCCTTGTCGATCGGCTCAACCATCCGCGCATAACCAAAGAACTCGCCGGCTCGGTTGGCACCGAAAATCAGAAAAACGGATTGTGATGTTCTGAAAGCTTGGTCTAGAGGAAAAGGTCAGCGCAAGTCTGCAGACAAATCGCACAACCTACCCAAGATAGGCTCGTTATGTCGCTGGGTTCGCCAGATCCCCGTTCGCACACTTTCCTCCAACTCCGCCTGGGGGCCGTGGTCAGCGCAAGCAATATCACTTTTGCCATTCTGGACTCACTGTTGTCAAACTCTTGACAATAAAGACACGACGAGGAAAGTGCTTGATCAAAAAGCTTGAACTGGTACTCGCATAACTCCCAGACGCCTTCTTTCCGTCCTCGCTCCCTGAAGAATCTCTCTTTCGGCCTTCATCGGACAACTCCGAGATGGCTGGGTTGGCCAAAGAGACTGCGGGTACTTGCCCTTCCGCCGTGGCGACCGGTTCCAACCCTTGCGGCGTTACCTGCTGTTTCTCCTGTTCCTTCTTCACCCAGTCCCGGTGGATACCCGTCCCGCGCTGTGCCCCTACGCCCGACTTTAAATCGTCATCTTTGCGCCGGACACGACA